GAAACCTTAGTTTACTTAGGAGTTACGATTCTTAAAAACAAACCCTACCGAAAATGATCTGAGCAGCCGTATAATTGAGCCCAGTTCTCATAACACTTGAGGTGGTCAGAAAATACACGGAAGAATATACTTGTATTTAAAATTTATAAAGGGAGACATTAAGTTAAGACTTACGCTTTTTCTCGGTCGATAATAACGTTGTATTTGATATATATATATATATATTTTACTAGACCTACCGCTCACGCATTAATTGTTATTTAAAATCTCACTACGTTTTCAAAATTAATCAAAATATTAAGGAGTGTTAAAAAGGATTCAAATGTTGTTATTTTCAATTTTTTTTAATCCGGGAATACTCTATAAATTTTTTAACTAATAGATTTTAAATCGTATTACTCTAAATTACGATTAGTCGTATTAAATTCTGAAGAATTACAAATAGAGTTTGGGTATTAGTGGTCTCAGTTCGTGCTTGATTTATATCAACTGGCTGTATTTACAGAATTAGCCTAAGTATTCCTCAGCTAGACAGCCTGTTATGTAATACTGAAAATAGTCATTAGTGAGAAAAAATAACAAGGGTGTGAGGACGATGACAAATATGATACTGAAAAGATACACAAGTGACTAAAATAACATTAGGGTGAGCTTTTCGTATTGTTTTAAAGATTATGAGAGGACGCAGGTGGATTTTAAATGATAAATTGTGTTTTTACAGATATTTGTGAGCCATTTATAAGAATTATGAAGAAAAATATGATTAAATGAATTTATTTCATTGCATCAATATTTTTTGTTAATAAATTTTGTTTAAGAGTACGATTTATCAAAGCGTGATTCATTATTAAGACATTGAAAAATAAAAATTTAATAGTTACATAAATTTATACAGCTATATGCAAATGAACACGTTTAAAAAAATTTATAAATAAATAAGTACAGAAGTGTTTCGTTGTTATACAAGTGAATTTAATAAGTTGAAGATTTAATCCAATCTTGTTTGAGTTAGAGAAATTTGTTTCTTCTTCTTTTCATCAAATATAGATTCTTTATTCGACATTTTCACTTTGAACTTTCATGATAAGTATGTATCAACTTTCTTAATTTAACTATGTTTCGGGAGCTAGTCATTATTAAAGGCTTTGAAAATATTCTTTCAAAGCGAAGAATGCATGAATATATTCTTTAAAATGGAACATTTTTTATTTTTTGATACATACAGAGATTAATCATTCACATTAATTATTTTAGAATTTTTTGATTGTACTGAAGAACAATTACACTTAGACTATTCCAAACAACAAGCCTAAGGAAAGGGTTCGAATCTCCGAAACACCGTTTTTTTTATCGAAAAAAGTAAATTTCTTAATGAAAAATAGTATGGGTTGTATTGATTTTTTTTTATAATTATTATACTTTTCGAACAAAGCATAGCAAACAACAGAAATTGATTTATATCCGTAGAACGTGATTTACTGTTAGTTACAAATAATCTAATATGCCTACTGTATCTTCATCATGTCACGATAGCTCGAGTCTCTAACAACAAATGATGAATTTATAGATATTTTACACAGCTTATACCAATAATCGTATATTCGCCTGAATACACATATTTATACTAATTCATTAACATCTTTTCAAACCACAGTAAAACATTAAATCAATGTTAATGCTGCAAAAATTATTCTCCAGCATATAATTCAAAATCTTGTACTTAAATACACTCACAATTTTTAACGCAAATCATTCCTTCTTGAAACTTTAAATAAAAATTTAACGAAACCCGAGATGAAAACTTATTTAAACTTTAAAAACATAAGATAGAATGTAACCACCGTTCTAACTTTTAAGTAAAACGGTACTTTATCGATTTGCAACCCTAATAAACCAGACTTACCTCTACAGCTATACGTTAGAATATATTAGAACTAAATCCTGTAACAATAAAAAAACGTTATTATCGTATAATGTTTCTTCTTACCTTGACCATAATTTAATGACTTTATATTATTATTGTCGTTAAAAATTTTTTTACATTTTCTTTTAGCTAATTATTTGCTCCATATATTTTCTGTGAAGTTCATACATTTAAATGCGTTACAAAATTAGTTAAAAATATTACTTCTATAAAATAGAAGAAAAAAATTAATTTTCTTCAAAATTTCACCTGTCTTATTTTGGAATATTTAACTTTCTTGTAACAGTATAATTAATCTCAAAATCAATAAATTATTTTGGAGTAAAGAGCAAAAATTTAGCTATGAAAAAAAATTCATGTCAATGAGCTGTGAGTATTTTAGGGTACAAAAAAATAAAAGCTGTTTTTAAATTAATTTTGGTTTAAATGAAACTTAAAAATAAACAAAAGCAAAAATCTCGAATCTGCAATCTAAACGCTACATGCGGCATCAGCTTTCACTCCGTCTCACCTTCTTTTCAGTGCACTTGAGTTAGCACCAGAATATGCAAATGCTCGGTACCCTAGACACGCGAACTAAAGGATCTCTAATATGTTCTCGTTCCTACGACGGCTAAACACAAGTGGACGGGTTGAAGGTGTGTACACAGGTGCTTTAACGTCTTAGTAACCTTATACATACATATATGCATGCGTCTAAATATCTGGTATGATATCTATGTATTGTGTAGTGTGCATCATGAATTTACATTGCACATATTCTTCACTACACACTTCAGCACTACCACTATTATCCGTTTAAAACAAGCTTGACTACTGCTAAGAAGAAAAGATGGTCACGCAGTTCACCACCCTCGGTTTAACTTAACTTTTGCGTGATCCTTTCCTAACGACTATACAAAACACCCCTCGCTCTTAGTTTGACTTGACTTGAAATCCCATTTGCTTTTATCGCAACGGTCTACTGTATTCTATTCATCATTTTATGTGTTTTTCAATGTATAATCAAATTTGTTCATTTTGTTCGATCTAATTATATCTTATTTTTTGTGACGTGACCATGTGACACATTTAAGTATTATTATTACCAAATTATCAACATGGTTAGTATGAAGCTTATTGAATTAATCTAAAGTCCTTTCATTGCTTAAAGAATGAATTAGAAACTGTTATCACACTGAAAAAAATTAAAACTTTTAGATCAGCAGAAAATTCTCCAGATTTCCATAGCGGAAAGTTAAACAAATAATTATTTTTTATAGTAATTATAATTACCATCAACAATTAAGCTTATTAGTACAGTCATTCAAAAATTTAAATGGCTAAGATTTTATTACAATTCACGAAGCTGTAAACTAAAGGAACATTTTATGAAAAGAAAGTTTTATGCTTAAATATCTAATATAATATTAATTAGAAGGCTTGAAAAACATTAACTGTCTTTGTAACGCTTTATAATCTTTTTGAAGCAGAAGTTTACCACTTGATATTACAATAACACTTCAGGAAGTATGAAACATTGTGTGAATAGCATTTGATACCTTGGTTTTCATTTTTATGTTGTAATATTAATATTTCTTAATATACTGCACTGAAGAGATAAACAAAATATATATCAACTCGTCCTCATCAAGCGTTAATACACTTTCAAAGTTATTGCAGAAATTTTTTTCAAACTTCATTATATAAAATAACTTTAAGTAGCAACTAAATTCTTTATTACTTTCCAATGTGATAAGCACAAGAAAAATGACGATATATTACATAAATACAGTATCAATTTAATTTCCTTTTTTCTCCCATCTTTCTTCTCTCCTACTGTCATCGTTGCATTCTACTTATTAAAGTTCGGAACATTTCCCGTAACGTAATCTAAAGAATTAGATACGTTCAACTTCAACTCAATCAATATTCACTCTAATTGACCTTATTGAAATCAAAAAGAAACATGACTTCGATTAAATATAAACATTACTGCAAAAAATGTCATCTACGTGCTCCGTCACCTTGACTGATGCGAAAATAGAAAAAAAAGGACGATACTATCTGTTATTGAGAATAAAATGATAGATAATCTACGTTAGCATTGAACTTTACTTAAACTAATTTATTTACCGTACTTCTCTTGTTTGTCACAGAAAATTTAATCAAAAAATCAGTGTTGGGGTATGAACGTACTCTACTAAATTATCATAAATAAATTCCAATTTATTTTATTTGTATTTAAATGTCTTTTTTTATTTTAGTTTATTTTTTGCGCTGTCGTCTATGGCGAAAATATTTTATTCATCACAAGAACTACGAATAATTCCATGATAAATATGGATTCTGTGGGCACAAAGTCCACCCTCTCCTGAATGTGGTTTAGTTTGAAAGTCCAGTAGATAAAATATGAGTAGTTGAATCGATGCACAAAAATTTACATATTTATTATAAGTACTTTAGATAATATCAATCAATCATAAAAAACAAGAATGATTTATAAATCGTAAACTATGTTTCTGCTACTTAATGTAATTGAACGGTTAGAAATAAAAAAATTTTTGCAACAATTTTTTTTTCCAACACTTCAATTTAAAATTATAGCTAACAATTAAAAATTTTTTCACTTATAATTTTTTTAATTTAACCCCTTCAATTGTAAATAAAAAACACATAATAGAATGTTTTTAAATTGCTGTACTGTATATTTAGAAGTATTAATTAATTTATAAACTTTAAAATAAAGAAAATTATTTTAAAAAAAAAAACGAGTTTTTTGCTTTAATAATTATTTATCTTGATTTTGACATTCAGGGTCTATGTATTTTTTTCTTCAGTCGGTAGTAATGTGCTCCTATCTTTTCAATATAAAATTATTAAATTATCTTCAGTCGATAATTTTAAATTTTTAATTGTTCATATTAATTTTTCAAATTTTGCATAATCTTTAATATAAACTAAAAATGACGAGAATTTCCAGTTGTTTATAAAGCAGCTATAAGAAACTAGAGTTTGGTAGTAATTCTCCTAAAATTCTATTTTTTAGGCAAATAACAGATCTTAATTAAGTCGTATCAGTTCTGAATATCTATATATGAATGCAGTAAACGTTCTTAATGAAAAATCCGATATCCGAGGTAATTGGAGACTATGTTACTCAGAACTAATTCAGAGTTTCTGTCGTCGTAGCACCGCAAACTCGACCTTTTGCACTTTTATGTGTATGTGTCAGGTACTTGATGTATGCGCAATCTCCACCTTACCTTTAACTACGGCATTGTTCGCCAATTTCATTGGGAGAACATACTTTGAGTGAAAAAAAAAGCTAATATTAAGTCTGTAACATTTTCCGATATTGAAAATTTTTCAGCACAACGATTATCACATATAATTAAAAAAAATTTTTAAAAAATAAATTCACTAACAAAATCTTTGTTTTTCTTTTTTCAGCGTTGTATTTTCCACAATCGGACTTAACATTAAGGCTTCCTTATTTACTGGAAAATGATGAATCTTTAAAAACAGAACTCACCCTTCTTAACTTGCGAACTTTGCCCAATGATTCTATCACATCAAGAAATCCGAAATATCAGATTGTTTCTGAAAGTGATAAATATGTGAGATTAGTCACTGAAAAAGGACAAGTTATTTATAATCTTCGATCACTTACGCAAACAGGTAAGAGTAGATATAAAAATTGTTTTTACAGAAAACATCCTTTTTTTAATGAAAAATAGGTTTTATAACTCACTTGTATAAATCAAAATGGTTGACAATTTCTTTTTAACAATTATTAGATAGTTCAAGGACAATCGTAATTCAAGCTCAAGAAGAAAAAGATAAAGCGACAATGGAAATAAAAATCTTACCTGTCAAAGCAATCGGAGGAAAGTTAAATTGTACAGAATTTACAAAAGTAAGGACTTTATAGTCTTCTTATAAATATTAATTCAAATTTTTTAATTAAAAGTTATTTTTAATTAGTCAAAAATTGGTGTTAGCACTAGCTAAAATCGCTACTTTAAAAGTCTATTAAATTTTTTAAGTATATGTAAAAAATAGGTTAATGATGTGATTTTTTTATTATTTAAATAGGATATGTGCTTTTGGAACGTATCAAAGTATAGAATTTATGAAAATCAACTAGCGACTATGCTTGGTAAAATCAATTCACCAGCTTTTAAAGCACTTTGTCCAACTTATCATGTGATTCAATATGAACTACTAAACGGTAAATAAAATGTCTATTAGAATTATAAATCATGATGTAAAAAGTAACAAACGTCAATACATACAACGATAGTAAAAAAACCTGTTGATGCATTTTTGTTTTAAGTTAATGAATTTATCCAATTGTTTGCAAACAGCAGAATAAATGCATCGGTTATTTATTTGAAATACAGAAAATAATCCGTGAAAATATTACATCTAGACATTTTATGGTATTTATGGGGATAAAAAAATAATTTATCATACTTTTTGCTAAAAATGATTGTATCAATTAATGTGTCAGATTTCGGATTAATTAAATAAAAATTCATTTATCAATAACCAAAAACCGTCTGTTATTTTCAATATTATGTGACTTATTAAAAGTTTAATAATATTTCTTCATATGACAAATTCATTTTTTAGGAACAGAATACTTTCAGATTATAAATGAAAGTTTTTATTCGAAACCTCTATTGGACAGAGACACTGTTGATTATCCCGGTGGACCGGGTGCTCATGTGGAAGTCCAAGTTAAATGTATTATACGAAATGAGCAGTCTGGAGCAGAGTACACCCACGAAACTAATCTTGATATCGACATCCTGGATTTGGACGACAATCCACCTATAGCGCAGATTAGTAACAACGTCGAGATAACGCTGCGAGATTTTACGGCGGTAAATAAAATAAATCCTATTCATCGTTCACCGTAACCCTATTCAAAATTTCAGCATTCTTAAATACAGGGAAAATAAGATATAAAAATTAAATGAATAGAGTATATACAAAAGAATTGAAAATAAAATAATATAAAATACAAAACCTCAGTAAAGAGAAATAAAGCGAGAGAAATTCATGGTGGCTTATCTTGATTAAACTCTTGCTCATGATTTATTTTTTTTTGTTTTTACTACTTCAACTTTCCTCTTACTCTTTACATTTTTAATCCCTGAGTTTCCAGTACTTTTAATTTGACGGATGAGCATAGCGATAACCAACGCGTATGGAGATAAAATTTTATTAAAAAGTTATTAATAAATACTAAGGAAAATAGATAAAATGTTATTTGCATAAAAAGTTACTCTTGTATAAAATTGATAATATTTTTAATTGCTCTAGTATATAAACCTGAGCACATCTTTTGTTATGTATAAACTCGTTCGAAACATCAAATTGTCTAATAGTGAAATAAAATTTTTTGCAAAAAAATAATTTACCTATTAATTTTATAAAATTAATTATTTTACATTAAATTATAACAATTACTGATTTAAATTATGAGCATGAAAGTACTAAATGTAGAATACTTCTCTGCTACTGTGCTTTTGTCACGTTCTGATTTTTAATGAGTTGTCGAAAGAGTTTCTAAATCAATACATTTCGCCAATTATAAAAATAATAAATTACAGAGTAAGGTAGAATGAACCCTTTGACCCTTAGAAAGTGAAATTTCATTAAGCAAATTGAAATTGTATTATTTCAACAATGACCTGACTCCCTTAAAAATTTTTTTTCTGCCTTTTTCATATCTGAAGAGTACACTTATATAATAAGCTTATATATATAATATAGAATTACTGTTTATTCAGTATATTAGTTTTTAATTAATTCGTTTTTACAGAATACAAGATTAGATGAAAATGATTTGATGGTAAAGGATGCTGATTCGAATGCAAGCAACACGTACACCGTTAAAATATTGGGAGACGTTCATAATGCATTATACATTACATACGATGCTATATCCGTTGATTATACGAATCCAGAAATACCTCCGACAACTGCGATTTACACTAGTCAGTTAAATAATTAATATATCTATCTATTTAATACTTAAAAATTAACCGACTATTTCTATTCTATCGCAGGAGTATTTTCGCGAACAACATTACTTCCAAAGTCGCCTTATAAAGTAATTTTGCAAGTGACTGATGAATCTTTGATCCCTGGAAAAGGCGAAAAATCAGTAAGTATTTAAAATCAATTCATTCATCAAACTTTAAAGTTATGAAAAATAAATTGAGAATTGAAATCGTTTTACAGTCGTGTTTCGCAGAAATATTTTGTATGCATTCACTATGTAAATACGCGATAGAACACAATACAATTTTAGTCTCTTAAAAATATGCAAGCTGTGAAAATTATTCGAAAACAATGCGAAAGACTGAAGTGAAAACAAAATGATTTAATATACAGCGTTTGTTGAAATAATAACTCGGATGGGAGTGCACACAGACAATCCAGCTTAAATTAAACACCTACACGTCTATTCTATCCTCGACAATCTAAAAGAGAAAAAAATTTATCAATTTAGAATTAGCTCGTCCTGTTCTAAAATCAATACCACGCCCAAAGAATAATCTACTGTGTTAGCTGTCAACAATATAGCTTCGATTAGGTGCTAAGTATGAATAACGGATTGTGTAGTACTTGCGGAAGTGTTGTCTCGACAGGAAGGTGAATTTAATGACTTTACTTATTACTTCCGTATGTCTAAGGATTAACCTCCTTAATCTATCTAAAATTCCGATGTTATATGCCATATTTCATCTACTAATTACTAATTTCTATATTATCAAGATGAGCAAAATTTACTGGACAGAGTGTGTTTAGTTTAAATTAGAAGTCTTTATTTTTACAAATAGAATCTTTATTAATTAATTTTTTAAGAAACGTACTTTTATAAATGTATTTAAAATTCAGATTTCCTTTCTTTTTTTATTTTAAAAGTATCTCATTTTTTTACAAGCAATTAATGTTACGTAGCCGAAAAAATTGAATCATATTTTTAATCAATAATTTCAATAAAAAACTGTGTGGCGAGAATGTTTTCTTGCAAATTAATTCGGGTATAATTTAACAAGAATTTTGTGATGTTTAATTAAAAAGATCACAAATATTTCGATTTTATATTGATTTCTTTTATTGAGTACTGACTATACTTTTTACATTAAATTTATCGGTACGTAAGTCGGTAAAGGTCAGGTATAAGACACTCGGCGAGCGTGGTCAAAGGTTTTTTGGTAACTGTCTTGGTCGATTTTTAGTCAAACTATCGTCAGTCAGAAAGTGCAATTTTGGGAAGGGGAAAATAACTGGAGTTGGGGAATTGTTGTTAAATGAAAGGATTCTGGAAAGGGTATTATTTATTTAAAGAAGGGTTGTTTAAACTAAGTGTGAGAAGATTGTTAAGTTGGGAAAAGTCTGGTCGCCATCTGATAAACAGATGGGTTGTAAAATTTATCCGTTTGTGTCGAAGGTTAGTCTAAGTCATTAAAGGGATTATTTAACAATGGCAACTACTTGAGTTCGACTGTCATAAATTTCCGAATTTTAAGTTTTATGACGTCTTTGTTAAAGGTCTGTCGAATATTTTTAAAACATGAGTAAACTTAAGATTAAAGTACAATTTTTTCATAACTTATAAAAAAACTGAGGTACATAACTAAACAGAGAATGTTCAATTTTTTTAGAGTAATTACAAAAACAATAGTCTTTAGAATTTTAGTTTTTTATAAAGATCTGACTGACTGTAAATTTGATGCAATAACACAACAATTGTCCTGTACAATAATGTAATTTTAATTGCAATTATCTTATCTCGCGTTTGGTTAATGAAATCAATTTCAAATTTTAGAGACAAGTGTATTTAAATATCGTTAATAAATATGCAAAATTGGAAAACTTTCTAACCCAGCTCTTGGTGCAACAACTACTTTAATTCACTCTAAAAAAAAACTAAACTATTTATCATTTTGCTTCTGATATCAAAGTAAATCTTATTTCCTCAGTCCACCTTGCAATTTTTGTTTATCAAAATTTGTCAAAAATGATCGTGACCAAGTACCATTTATTTAATGTCATGCCGTAAACTAAAAGATAGCCCCATGTAATTACATTCGTATATAAAAGAAGGTAAAAAAAAAGAACGTGATAGCTTTATATCAGATCGAAATGAAAAAGGGTTCAACGAGCCAGCAATCCACCCTTTTCGTCACGTTATTCCTCCTTCACGACTTTTAGCGATACATACATACACATTTATACGCACCTTTTAAAATAATAATGTATTCAAAAATTCTTTTTGTCTTTAACGCAGGTACATTATATCGCTAACACAATGCACTTCATTGTTCTTGATAATTTTCATTTTTCCTCTTTTAGATAAATATCACATTGTCTTTCATCGGGCCACAGCATCATCTGACTTCAACGACAACGGCTACACCCCCGAAGAAGCCCATTTCTTTTCCCACCAGTGTTACCATATCTCGGCTTTCTTTACAATTTTTCCGAGTCACGCAACCGTCTTTTAAGCCACCTACAAAATTTAACTTCAGTATTTTGGACTCAAAAATATTTAATGTCACCCCCAAAGGCGGTATTATTTATGTCGCTAATACTTCGTTACTGCAGACAGCACCTTCGAAAATTCCGTAAGCAAAATTATTAACAATAAAAATCACCTAATTCTGATTCTGATGCTAATTCATTCATCGATTGTCGCAGTTTAACAATTCAATGGAGTACTCCGGGACACAAATTATTTACAGCCTCATTGACATTGTACATACTGAATCCATCTACTATACTTGTAAACGACAGCTGTGTAAATCAAACAACAGCACTGCACTCGTGTGCAAATGCCATGGCACGAAAATCGTGCGAGTCACAATGCGGAATTGGCGGTGGTTCATTCAGGTAGAACAAATAAACTAATGCATGCCTTTAATTTCACCGCTAAAGCATATTGTTTGGTAAATAAATAAGTGTAATACTATATTATTATGTGATAAATATTGTAATTTTGATAGTAATCACTGTAATCAGTGACTTATAACTTACAATTATTAAAATTTTCACAACCTATTTGATCTATTTTACGGATATATCTTCTGATTTAATTACCGAAATTAATATAAACTATAATGTAACATCCGCATTAAAAAATTATATTTCTACAACAGTAATTCCACAACAAGTGAGTGCATTTGGAGATCAAACAATCCAGCTAATTCAGCAATAATGACTGAACGATATGAAACATGTACAGCAGATTTAGTTCATTGCCCGGACAACATTTGCGATGAATTGGAACATCTGGATCCTCGGATATGTCCGCAAGACTGTACTATTGAATGTAATTTTCTTATGCAATTCTTTTTTGATTTTTTTTTTTTTTATCGGAAAACTATTTCAAAAGCAATTTTATTTCTCTTGCTATTCAATTTTGCAATTTAATGTTCATCCTCTGCTTTTTGACTCTAAAGAAAAGAATGTTTTTAAATTTATCGGTATCGATAGTAAAAATATCCAGAACTTTAGTAGAAAAGGCATCTGCTTAATAGTGTTAAATGTCAAGGAGTATATTTATTTTATTTCAGCGGAGGTGCACTTTGCTGAGATGAATCGAGGTGGCAGAGGCATAAAAAGCGGTCTCGGTACGTGTTCATGCAATGATATGATGCAGTGTACATGTGGACCGGTGCATTTCCGCAAAACGGGCAGCGATGGTTCTGGAGCGACTGGAGCTTACGGAAGTGCCAATAAAGAAGTAGCTAGGATAAAAAAGGAGCGTCAAAAAGAGACAGCTATATCAGACGCTCATAAAGGTTAGTAGAGTCGTAAACGTCCAAGTCCGAGAAAAAAATGAATCGATTTGTTAAAGCTCGTTTAAGGGAGCTGCAACTGAACGAATCTCTTTCTTTGTTATTATTTTTTTATGGCTTTTTGGGCGAATCGATTTATATGAGTCTTTTCAGGCAAATGATAAAGAATAATATGGTAAAAACTTTAATTGCGGGAGTCTTTATTACGCGCTGTTAAACTTTTTGATTGTAGAAAAATTTGTGAGGATCAGTTGAAGATAAACAATATTAAATTTTCACGGATTTCTTTTTAAATAAATTTCATGAATTTAAAAAAAAAATTTAAGAATATTTAATAAGCAAGTAAAGAGAGAATAATTCGCTGTACAAAATGAAGAGTTATTTTTTCTTTATATTTCCAAGGTCACTATCTAAATAGCATTTTATTGAATTCCAAGAACTCAGTACTTTAAATTTCACTCAAAGCAAATAACTGCCCTTCTGTACAAATATTCAGTAAACAAAATACCTTAACCCGATTTATTTGCGGAACTATATAGTACAGTAAATGAGTATACTTATTAAGCTTTTAGTTGTTAGTAATTTACTGGATAGTTCGTGTCATATTTTTATTATCCGGGCAAACTCTATCTTGTAGACTTCAAATAAACTTTTTTCTTGTGGATTGAAAAAGACGCGATCAATAATCGTCTCCTAGCTTGCATTGTTTCTTTATAAAACTATTTTTTGTAAATCAGTTTATTAACATCGATAATCTATAATCTATAATTTTATATAAAAGTGAAACATGAATCAAAGTGTAGAAGAAATTTCACGAAAAAGATGTTATGATGACAGAGATAATGAGAAAAGATCGTCTAATGGCAGTAAGTATTTATTTAAACTATTTTTCATATTTTTTTCAATTTATTTCATAGTTTACAAAATAAAAATTAAATTAATGTTCGACTTTTATCGTTAAATTACTTTTTATATATCACGAATCTTATTTTTTAATTTATGATGTATTTAATTAATTACTATAAACATATTTTATTTAGGTATTTGGCATAGTTCTCCGATTATAAAACGTATAAAACTCGAAAAAGATGAAGAATCTAAAAGATTCTTTTATTGTAAAGATGTAGAGGCTGAAGTGAAACAAGAACTTTGCAAAAAAATTAAAGATGACCCATGTGATGATTATGTTGATGCTAAAAATACAATCAGTCTAATTTCTAATAATAATAATAATAGTTGCAAAAATGAAACCATCAATAGTCTCGATGAAGAAATTCACTTTTATGACGATGAGACACTTATCATCGAAGACTATGGCGTATTTTGTAAGGTTCGAAGTTGGGCATCCAACGCTGGAGTTACTACTGAAGATTTGATGAAGCTTCTTGATATTCTGAGAAGAAACGGACAAGCTTCTCGTTTTAATGCATCGGCACTATTAGATGCCGATGTAACGCAACCTGTTTTTCAATCTTCCCCAAATGAGTGTAAGTTTTTTCTGCAACTTACTTTTTTCTTTTAAACATTAATATTCAAAAATGATTAATGAATTTATTGGTTTATAAATTATTTTTTTTTTATAGTTGAAAAAAAAATTCTTGAAGAATTAAAAAACATAAAAAAAACTCAAGAAAAAACTCTGAAAAAATTAACGAGTGTTTGCAATAACCAATCTATTGAACATACTCAAAATGATGATGATGATGATGATGATATTCGTTGCAAATGGTTCAGCGAGTATAATATATATTTGCCAATCAATAAAATAGAAACGTTCAATCAATTTGACAAGTTTTTGATTGAAACAGAACAGTTTAGGACAAAATTTGTAAGTTATAAAAAAAAATCTTTGATCTGAAGTTTTAATGATGTTTATCGTATTTATTTAGATGAGCTTCATTGATGTAATTGTAAAACCAGATAAATGTTTAACAATGTCTCGGAAAATTGGCGCAGTACTTAAAAAAATGATGGTACGTGACGTAGTTATACAATTTACAATGATAAGACCTAAACCGGATAGAACTGTTGTGTCCAAAACTAAATACTACAATTGTTTGTACGGTAAGAAAAAAAAACCTTTATTTTATAAATAAAAATTATAAGTTTTTTTAAAATAATATTCGTTTATTCATACTTACAGATTACTTTTACTCAACTCAACTAGAATTCAGTGAAAAAACCTTGCAGTCAGAAAGCAAAAGAAGAAAACCAAAGAAAAATCAGAATGAAACTAGTCAGAAATATTTCGCTAGCGCCTTTAGAGCTGCTATTTCAAACGGCAAATATTGGGATAATCATCGAGCAAAAAGACGTCAATCACTTTAGCGCTGATCTGAACACTTACTTTATAAATTAGTTATTAGTTTTTCTATATTTTTTCTGACACGTTGTTAATTCGATAGTTTATATCTTCTAAACATAAAATTATATTTTTGTTATGTTCAATACTGTGGTAGTTTATTTATCTTCCACATTAATCTTATAAAATAAAATTTTTTTCATTATTTAAAAAAAAATTAAGTACTCATTTTAAATTCTAATACATTTATTCATATTTTTATTTTGTGTTTTTACCAAAATATTTTTTTATCTCTTTTTTGTAAAGCAAAAGTTGAGATTCGATAAACACTCGCGGTAATTCTTCGCAAAATTAAATTCTTCGGTCGTTTTTCAACTTTAAATTAATAGAATATTGTAGAAAAGAGAGTTTGAAGTTATTGGATATTAAAGCTCAAATTTATTACTCAGAAGCTTGTATTTTTACACTATTATTGATTTTATCTATTAACGTAATAAGTTATTCTTAATTAAAAATATTAACTTTAAGGAAATAGTCATTGATTTTTTTTTAATAAATTCTATTTTAAAAATCTGTTGAAATAAAATTTAATTATTAAGAATTGACAATTCCTTTAATTTCTTTCTAAGACAAGGAAAATTGATTATATAATATTACGTAATAGCAATAAACTATTAAAAAAATTTTGCATGATGTATCATGTATAAAATAAATATTAATTTTCAGTAGCTTCGACAAACGTTTGTGGTCCGGGTTGTTTAATTGGTGCTGCTGGAGCTAGTTTCTTTGTTCTCTTGGTTGTCGGAGCTTTTGTAATGTGGAGATATAGGTAAGACCAATTTATCAAGACATTTATTTTTGCTCTATCGATTAACTTTATTTACTTTTGCTTTTTCGAAACTCTAAACAGTGAAAAACCTGTTAATAATTGTTGTCTGTTTGTTTTTCTCAATAAATCAATTTTTAAGAAATAATAAAATTTCTTTGAATAAAATTCTGACCACATCTGCGGTTAAGAGATAAAAGCTTTTTTTCATTTATGGTCGATAGTTAAATCTTTGAGAAAAATTTCTAATTGAACTATTAATGGCCGAAACACAAGAATTTTCGGAGAGAAAAAAAGTTCAACAGGATAATTGAACGTTCTTTTATTTTTTTGATTTTTCTCAGAAGTATTGGAAAAAATTCAAGACGAGAGTGCAAGCACCGTTCAGATGACATGAATAACGGACTTGGAATCCTTCCATTGGACTACTTAGACCGAGGTGATGGACATCTTATAAGTATAGATTCATTCGCTGCTACTAATCGAAGTTTGCTTCTTCCTAAATCATCACCAGTAAGTTTTTATTTTTTAATAATGAAACTATAAATCGTAAGAAAAATATCAAATGTATTTTAAAGGTAAAAAATTTTTTAACTCGTCAATTTTTTCTTTATTGACACTTTTTTAAATAAGCGCTGCATAAAAATATGTTGAAATTTTTGATAAATTCATAAAGTTTCAATTTAATAATTTTTGAATTGCATTTTAAATAAAATAAAAAAAAAAATTGACAATAATGTAATGAATGCAATAAATTTCTTAAACTCCATTGCGGGTTTTTCCGATTTCCTGGAAACGGAAATGAAAAGCAGTGTTAGGAAGCGGAGACGTGTATCATAAAAACAGGCGAGAGAAAACGAGATATATCACACTTGAGTTATCAAGTGATTCAGTTCACTGAATTGATGCCGACCTCCAGTCTAGATTTGTACAATCGATCTTGTTAGTCTAACTTTTACCGTAACACATGTATTTTGTAAAACGAAGCTCACTATCGCAAGTGAGACAATTTACTGGACACGGCGCAAGGCAAAGTAAAGTAAAACTTCGTGAGATATATTGAAAGATCGTTATCATTGTAAATTAGTTTGCTTAAAATAAATAATACCAATACTAGCGGGCAAATTATTCCACCCCTTTGAGTATAGAGTTAATGTCGAGTATGTTTATGTGTTGAGAGAGTGAGGGAAACAGAGATTATTACTAACTTCCGGGAGTTTATTGAAATATTCCCTGTTTCTCATATACTGTGAATGTACATGTATACATTCTTCTACTATACACAGGTATAGTGTAGTTGATTTTTAATTTTTAAAGGAATATTAGAATTAATTCAGATAAGACTTTATTTGAGTTATGCTAATCAGAGGCATGTCTGTACTGTATGTTAATTAATTTCATGTATGAGAAATTATAAATCTAATTACTTATTTAAATAGAATAAGTTTATTTCTCAGTGAGAATATTATTTTGAATATTTTAATATTTATTATTAATTAATTATTAATATTTTACATGGCAAAAACAAATTAGAAAAAAAAATTGACATATAGAAATTTAAAAAAATAAAAATTGCAATTTTTTACAAATAATTTTTTTTGATAAATAAAATTAAAAAAGTGTTAAGTGAAATTTTTTTCTACAGAAAAAAAAATTCTGAACATTGTGATTTTTAATATTCAATTTTAATTGACCGAAAAATTTTCAGCCTGATCCAAAATGGGAATTTTCAAGATCAAGATTGACAATTGAACAAGTACTGGGTGAAGGGGAATTCGGTCGAGTATTACGAGCGAAAGCTGTTGATATTGGAGGTTGGCCAGGACCAACAACAGTCGCTGTAAAAACATTGAAAGAAGATGCCAGTGGCTCTGAACTTGCTGATCTTCTTTCCGAATATCAACTTCTTAAAGAAGCACAGCATCCAAATGTAATCAGGTTACTTGGCGCTTGTACATCCCCTGGAGGTCCTGTTTATTTGATTATCGAGTTTGCTGAGTTTGGATCATTGAGGTAAAAATAACAACATTACTAAATTTTTTATAGAATTATCGCGGCTTGTAGTTTTTTTTATTATCATATCACACAAAATAGGTAAAACAATAAAAAATTTATTTTTAAATGAAATGCAAATTTATTATGGATAGCAAAACGTAATATTGTCAATGCAGAGTCCAATAAAAATACCATTGTCTGCCTAATGTATCCGGAAATCCTTAATTTAACAAATTCCATGACCACTAGGATGCATACCATCCAAAACAATAACCGTCTAGTCTCATCGAGAAACTTTCATAATTAAATTTTTAACTCTATTATACATTTTAAATAATACATTAAAACTTTTATTAAAATACCATTTGAATATTAAAAAATTCTTTTTTTAATATAATTTATTTTTGTTCTCAGAGTTGATTTATGATGATAAGTATTTCTGCATTCGAAAATTCTCTTTTTCATTAAAAAATGACCTTGTATCTCGTGAACCATTGACATTTTTAAAGATATAAGCTCATCCCGATGTTACACTCATCAAGAGCTTTCATTTGAGTACCCACATCAATTGTTTATATATTTTATATATTTATATATATAATATATATGTATATATCAAAAATATATCAAAAATGCATGTAGGTACTCAAATGAAAGCTCTTGACGAGTGTAACATCGGGATGAGCTTGTATCTTTAAAATATATATTATATATATGTATATATCAAAAATATATCAAAAATGCATGTGGGTACTCAAATGGAAGCTCTTGATGAGTGTTAACATCGGAATGAGCTTATATTTTTAAAAACTTCAATAATTCACGAGATAAAAGTTCATTTCTTAAGTATGTACTATTATTCTTTGTATAGAAATTATTTACGAAGAAGCCGTCATCTTGAATCAGAAGGACGTGTTCCTTGTTCAACATCATTATTATCAGCATCACCTGGTAACACGAGGGAAGAGTTACAAGATACTTCGTTGAATTATACAATAACTCCCCATGATATACTCTCGTTTGCCTGGCAGATCAGCAAAGGAATGGCGTACCTCGCCGACATTAAGGTAAAAACCACGAACATTATTCTGAACACATTGCTTCAGTTATTTACAACTTTGCCAAATGTATAACTAAGTTATTAATTTTGCAGTTGGTGCATCGTGATCTAGCAGCTAGAAATGTTCTCCTAGCTACCGGTAAAGTTTGCAAAATATCTGACTTTGGACTGACTCGAGATGTTTATGAGGACGATGCATATTTAAAACGAAGCAAAGGGAGAGGTAAATTATAAATTATTTAATATATATAATTTTAATTAGAATCATCAGATAATTGACTAATATCTTATTGATACAGTACCGGTTAAATGGATGGCTCCTGAATCTCTTGCTGATCATGTCTACACGAGTAAATCGGACGTTTGGAGCTTTGGAGTGCTTCTATGGGAATTAGTGACGCTCGGTGCCTCGCCTTATCCAGGTGTAGATGTTCATAATCTCTACAATCTACTCAAAGCCGGATATCGAATGGAGAGGCCAGCTAATTGTTCTGCACAATTGTAAGTCTTTAATTAAAAAGTGTTTATAATCAATAAATACAAAATATTTTTCTGGAGATATTAATTTTTCCCAAATCTAGAAAACTTTTTTTCAACATAAAAGTTATTTTAAAAAAAATAGCATAGTTTTGAACATTTCCAACTTTTTGATTTTTTGTCACAACAATTTCCTTTTTTTCAAAATAAATTTTTATCTCTAATAAAAAAATCTTTTTTTAAAATCATTTTAGCAAAAGTTTAATTATATATTCAGTTCTTCGCTTCTTTCGTTGTAAAAATTTTTTTTAATGATAAAATATATTAATATATTATTGCACCAGTATACTCTAAAGTTATTAATTTAATGATAACTTTATTGCAGATATAAACTAATGGTTTCATGTTGGCACGATGAACCTGGAATGAGACCCTCATTCAAAGAACTAACTTGTCAATGGGAGCGTATGCTTGAAGATGGAGTTGAATACCTTGATTTAAATCCACGGACTGTTCATAATCAAGCTTACTTTGCATCACTTCATGCTCTCGACAGTCCAACTAGTAAGTGCTTTTTTTTTTTTTTTTTTTATTAAAAAAATATTTCTTCTTCCCCTTCCCCAAATTTGTCTGAAAAATTAGCTATTAAAACATGGTAATTAAAAGTTATACTTTGGAAATAAATTTATTTGTCCATGATAAATGATTTTAAGTATCAAAAGAATTACCGATGCAGTGAAATAAATTGTATTGATGTAAGTGCGCAATGAAAGTTAAATAACATTTAAAAATTATTCATTCAGGTTCAAGCAACGAAGGAGTAATCAGTGGTAACTTTAGTACTTTTCGGACTGAAGCAGTTAACTACCTCAGCAAACCATCAGCAGAGCCTATAACTAAGTGTGATAAGATCGATAAACTTCAAGCTCTTTGGCAAGATCCAATTTGTAGCTTTCCAGCAGAACCAGTCAAAACGACTTATGTCAATGAAAGACCAGACAATTTAAATGTTAATCACTACGAAAGTCCGATAAAGTTACGCAGGGTAAGTGTGACGAGTAATTGTGAAAATAATTTAAAAACTCCGACGAACGAACGGCCTCAATCCTACATTGACATGCAGGGAAAAAAATCCGATAGCGATAATGATCAAAATAATTTATTGCTGTTCAATAATGTTCATCTAAATAATGATAAAATAAATATAACAAATGATTTTACAAAATAAATTTAAAATTCCTGATAGTTAGAATTTAAGGGGCAATTATATTTAATCAAAATGTATATATATATGTAGAAAAGTAATTTTTTAAATGAAACTACAAACAGTTAAGAAGATAAAATTGATGATTGCAATGTTTAATGGAAACTCGGACCAAAGTGCTAAATGGAATAAATTATCTATACCAAAGGAATTAATTAATCTTGCCATATTTTTGAGTAAAAAATATATCAACAATATATAGAGTAAATAACTTTTCTTTTTTATTATTTAAAAATTCATGTAGAGCGATAGAATAATCAATTAATCACAATCACGAATTATAAGCTTTCTATAAATCATCATATATTTTATTATCAAACGTTTCAAGTCAACTCAATATTTTTCACACAACATAAATAAAATACAGTGAATTTAATTACCAAAGGACAGATTTATGAACTGAAATTAAATAAGACTTCAATAATGATTGAATGTTATCAATGTTAAGTTCAAAAAATTTGAAGAATTATATTTGACTTTAACAATCAAGCTACAAAAGAAACTAGTTTTCCAATTTGCTAAAGAACGGTATAGACTAGTAATGCCTAGTATTTTAGAGCTTTAAGTTACCTTTACATAATTATCTTACTTATAATTGAATAGATTAAAATTCAGTGTGAAAAGAATGACTGGTTTATTTACTTATTGATTACAGAATTAATTATCAAGTGCGCGGATTAATAAAAATAGATAAAAAAAAATTAAAATTAACTACACTATAAAATACAAAATAAAGCAAAAAACTTTTTTTAGTTTTAAAATTTAATTATAATTAAAAAATTATATTTCATAAAAAGTTCCAAAAAAAATGGTCTTAAAAAATTTTTTTTCGTCTCATAAAATAATATTCAGTAATTTTTATTTTATTTCATTCTAAAAAAACAAATTTTTAATTTATAAGGATACTCGATTTTTTTAATATTTATAATTAAAATTATTCGACAATTAATAATCGATTTGTATATATGAAATAGAGCAAATGCATGTTTTTTTTTTAATAAATAAAAGTTAATCTAAGATTTTTTTTATTGAATTAGAATTTAAGTAATTTGTTATTTATAAGAGACTGTGTTTATATGTACCTTAATTATATATTTATGTTATAAGTTATAATAATTTGTAATTATATACTTCGCCATTCCATTGTAGTTCATAAAGCTATTTTGTTTTTATTATATTGTAAAGTTATTTATATGAAAAGAAAAAAAATATAACGACACATATTTTATTTCTTTGAATTAAAATATTATACTATAAGTTTTTAAATTTAATCTCTGTGCCATGTGTTATTATTTTGTGTACTATTTACTGTTAAAATAAAAATTATCAGCACTTAATAATTAATAAAATAATTTTCAAAACTATTTGAATAATTAAAAAATTGTTTTACTTTTTAATGCTCGTTGAGCTAGTCCAAACAATGCCTCTAATTTCAAAATTTACAGGAATATACGTCGACGTTTTTTACTACACGGGTTATTCTTTGATAATGATTCTAATCATTTTTTATTACGGCCAATTTAGTCCTGAGAAGATATTCCAATCAGTGTTAATGGATGCAGGTGTCACGCTGTTAGTAACACCTAGGTCAGTATTCATGTACTCTTGCGGACTTATAATGAAAAGTTTAAAAGCAATAAATCCCCCGAAGCCTTCATAGCCGCGATGAAATAGTCCAATTCCTTTCAGTGGAAATAACACTTTGCTTTCAACTGGCCGTGCATCAAAAAAAGGGACAGTTGATTGTCCTGCATCTTTTTTCAAATCCGATACTTTGAACTTAACAAATTGATTTCCTTTCAAATTTGGTATGTTTTTTGGAGATTTTATTGGATTATCCGGGTTTGGAAGTAACAACTCTGTTCTAAACAAGAATTATTCGAAATGAAAAGAAATTAGAAACAGATAATCTACACTGAGAGAACAGTTTATTTAAATGAAATGAGACTCTTTTATAATGAAACAATCTCTAATTTAAATACTAGCAATAAGGATGAGTTTAATTTTATAATTTCTATTGGAGTAATTTCTAATAAACTAAAATTATTAAGTGCGAGTTAGACTTTAGTAATTTTTTTCTATTATTAAATTTATTAAAAATTTATGTATGTATGTAAAATTAGACAATTATAACAGGCAGTAATTATTATCACAACTCAAATAGCGACTCAAAGGTCGCATAATTTATTTCAAACAAGATTTGTTAACTCTATTATTTAAATTTGGTTCAAAGTAATCTATATTTAAACAAACCAAATTGGTTAATATTAAAAACGTCTTTTTAAGTTATTTTAAATACGAATTAAAAAGAAGCAAACAGTTTTCTCAGTGATAAAATTATCAAAAAAACACTCATATACTTGTTCTGTTTATTGTTTGAAGAAATCCAGACATGGTTCTTGGATAATTTTCCCGTTAGGTAATCAAAGTCCGTTAAACGAATCTGCATTTCTACCGAACCGTTTTTATACCTTGGATGAGTGTTGAAATCACCAGCAAATCGAAATCGAACTCCTGTCACGATCGATTCTGTAGAGGCTTTTATGTCATCTAAATTTAAATATTCTGGATAACCGAAATCTTTTACTGCTGTTGTAAGACCATATGCTAGACCATTTAGTGGTGGATAAGTGCAAAATGTGAAGTTATCAAAAATAGTACAATTATCAAGTGCTTTCCATGCTACGCTGTTGTTATCTATCTTGCCATGGGGCAAAAGCTTTCCTTCTTTTATTTCGACGTAAATTGTGTTATTTTTTATGACAAATTTCAAGTCCAGAACAACCCTAAAATTTAAATAAATAGTTTGTTCTTAGAACACAGAAATTTATAGTAGACATATATTCAATGAAATATAGCTGATAACATCTATCTCCAAAAACATACTTGCTACTGTCAGTATCAGAAACTTGATCTTGGAAGCTTATGGCAGTGATTTCGTTATGGACTTCTCTGTGAAGCTTGGCAGTACAAACGCAAAGACAATAATCACAATAACGAGTTGTCCATTGATACCAACTGTTATACGTTACCATTTTTCCTGAGCAATTAGTATTATTGCCATAAACATTATTATTTCCATCTTTAAACCATTGATATCGTCTTACATCATCATCCTACATTATACATCACACTTTAATTATCAAAAAAATCATTTTGTTGAAATTAATTCTCAATTTTTGATGATAATACAATCAATATAAAATTTATTAAGAAGAAAAATATTTTTATCTAAATATAGGTAAGAAGTGTAAAGAAATTTTTTCGCCGTAAAAATATGTATTTTTCTTTTCAATACGTTGATGAAAGGACGAGATATAGAAATTTAAAGTTTAAAAAACTTTACTTCTATTTTATTTGAATTAAAAATGAAAAATTTAGATTATAGGGACTTCTAAATATTAATATTAATTGTTAAAATTTTAACGGGTACTTTATTTTGACATATTTGAGAAAAAAAAAGTTTGTCAATTTTTTGAAACACTATCATTCATTTTTAATATCAATAAAAATTTTGTAAAACTTACCAACTGACAAATTTCAAACTTTGCACCCATATATTGACAATCTAAGTCCTTGCACATATAATCAACGTGAGGCTTAAAATGTTCACCTTTTGTGTTACAATTATACGAACAACTTCCATCCTTGTCTAAATAAAATTCATTTTCAATCATTACTTGGTACATTCTTTCCAACTCGATGTACGTTTTGTCTAAACAAATACTTTGATTATCAAAAAATACGAAAAAATGACAAAAAAGAATTTATATTTACCTCGAGTATGATTACTAAAGTCACAAGCATAGAGATACTCGGAAAAATTTCCTAGATAATTACGCGTAAAATTCATGAACATTGTAACATTATTCATGAAATGATTTCTTTGGTGAAGTAATTTTTTTTTAACGTTCTCTATAAAATTAAAAAAACCGCATAAGTTTAAATTGCACTAGAATTTAAGAAAATACTTGTAATTTTTTATAAATCATTACCCTCACTCTCTACGGTACATTTAGATTTTAAACTAAGTCCAATTGACGAGCGAAAAAATTTCAAGACAAACCCTCTGAGTATTTCTTTAGATAACTCATACAAATCTTGTAAAAATAAATGTTCATCACAATCAACATCCGTAGTTTCTGATTTCTATAAAATGAAAAATATTTTTAGTTTTTTATTATTTTTTTTTCAGTGGATTAAAATTTATAACAACTTACAGCTTCTCTTCTTTCAATCTCACCCGTCAATGCTTTATAACTTTCTTCGATGTAAGAATACGTCAACTTCGACTGAGATATTGTATGAGATAACGGAAATGAACATAAATTTTGAATATCATCAATATGACTGCTGACTTTGTTTTTAAAGAAACGATGGATTAAACTCTCCAAAATGTTAAGCTCTAGTCTCAAATCTTGAAAAATTATATGAGGAAGTAATGATAGCGAATTATTTTTATTCATTCGATGATCTCTTAATTTTTTATCGAATTCGTCCCACGGAAAAGTTGATTTATAATTATCTGTCTCATTGAAGCTATTGAAAGTTTTTAACATTTCAGAAACAAAATTTTTTATTTCATTATTTCTATCCTCTTCATCCATGAAGCTTGTTATTTTATACTCGTTGTCTATAATAGAATTAAATCCTTCAAAGAAATCGTGTATTGAATTTATATCAGTCACATCTGGCCAGTGGATAGAAGCAACGAAATAAGTATTAAAAACAATAAAAATAGTTAAAATTTTTCCAAACATTATTTTCCGTTATTTAAAAGTCGCAATTAAACCGCGTAGACTGAAAATTATCCGCGTCTTACTTCACTGATTTATTGAGGTACACTACGAAAGTAATATTTCTGAACTTAGGAAAGAGGTATCACAGCAGAAGGCTCTATTATTTTGTTTAACAACTGTCTTCCTCAATAGATTTATGTACTATATCTGCGATAAAATGATTAACAAATAATATCAGACCATATTAAATAACGAATCAAATTCTCAATTGTAATCGCGACGTCAAAACCTGTAATAATAGCATTAAATTTACTTTTATCGATGTAATATATTATTATAAAGTGTGTGAACGGGAGCAATTAAGACCTGAACTCACGTACATTGTATTAGAAAAAATACTTTTAAAATTATATCAACAGTTTATAAGATAAAAAATAAATAATGGAAGTTAAAATAATTTTCAACTATGTTTTATTCTGTAATTTAATTTAATCTTTTCAAAACTATGTTAAAGATTTTATAAAAAGTTTTATTATATAAAGAGCGGAAGCGAAAATTAATTTCGGAAAAATTATTAGAAATGGTTTATAAATTAATTTAATATTCTTTTATAAGCCAAATTGATTTTTAGGAAAACTGAACTTGTTTTGAAAGGAGAAAAAAAATTTTCTTGGTTCAATAAAATTTTACTTCATCTTAGATAAATTTTTTCTTTCTTAATATTTCTTGCATGCAGTAAAATCATAGTTTAAAAAGTTTTTAAGAGTATACCTGGCCAGTAGGTATTATCTCAAGTCTCTTACCAATAGAACATTATTATCGACGTTGTAGGTAATTACTATAGACTATTTTTAGAATTTTTCGATTATTAAGCCAAAGACAGTCATTGTACTTAGTCGTTAGCTACAGTCAATTAGTCTTGGAACTCCAAGCTATAGTAACCACGTGAAAATACAAATATTCGTGCTGCCTAAGATTTAATAAACAGTTCTGTCTATTGAAGTAAGTTAATAATAAATAAGAATTAAATTAGTAGACATTTGACAATTTTTAGAATTTTTCTTCTTGAACAAATTACTGTAAAAATAATTGAAAAATTTTAATTTTTAAAACATATTTTTATAATTATTATAATTATTTTAATATTATTATAATTTTACAAATAAAAAAATCGTCAAACGTTTATTGATTTCACTATCAGAATAATTGTCTTTTTAATTAATAAATTTATTAACAATTACTCCGATTTTGTAGAAGTTTTAGGTTATCGAGTGATTATTTCATGTGTAATCACCACCACGTGTTGCCAGCACAGTAAATGTTATTAAAATTAACCAGCTAGCAAGAGAAAGAATTAAAATCGCTGTGAAAATTACATCATCAAATAATTTAACTATATAATAATAGAGTTCGACAGAATGTCAAGGAATATTTCCGGGTTGAACGGCATTGAGGGCAAGACTCCCTTCCTGATCGGCGTCTCCGGAGGAACAGCCAGCGGGAAGACCACCGTCTGCAATCGTATCATGGAGAAGCTGGGGCAAGTAGATATGGACCAGACTGAGCGCAAAGTCGTCTGCATATCCCAGGACTCCTTCTACCGGAACCTTACTCCAGCGGAAATAATTCTAGCGGAAAAAGGTCAGTTCAACTTCGACCACCCGGAAGCTTTTGACAACGACCTAATTTTCTCCACTCTCTCGGATATTCTCGCTGGAATCAAGTGCCAAGTTCCGACTTATGATTATTGCACCCACAGCCGAGTTCAAGGCCAGTCGATAACTATTTACCCAGCAGATGTCGTATTATTTGAAGGTATCCTGGTATTTTACGTGGCCAAGATTCGGGACTTATTTCACATGAAATTATTTGTCGACACTGATTCCGACACCCGATTGGCACGTCGTGTTGCTCGAGACATTAAGGAAAGAGGCCGAGATTTGAATTCCGTGTTGAACCAGTACATGAACAATGTGAAACCAGCGTTCGAGGAATTTGGTTTGCCAACCAAGAAGTTTGCAGATATTATAATTCCCCGTGGTGCTGATAACTCAGTCGCGATAGACCTTATCGTCCACCACATCTGGGATATTTTGCATTTGAAGAAAATGAATGGAGCTGAAATGACGCCGGCGTCTATACAGCATCCGTATCTTCACCGTAGGCGGATTTCTCAATCACCTGACACTATTAGCAGATGATTTATTTCTGATTTGAATGGTTTTCATTGATCTTTTTTTTTATTTCAATGGAAATTCAAAAATATTTACTGTATTATAAATTAATAATAAAAGAAATTGTTTGGATATAATCTAATTTTTTAATATTTAACAGAGTTCTTTGATTTTACTATAGACTATATAATTTTATTAACAGCTAGTTTAGAAAATTATTGACTAGAGACTACTTTTTTTGCACCAAATAAATGTTTATTCATATAAATATTTCGATGTTCTAATTAGCAAATTGTCTAACTCTATTTTAGAGAATCTTCCATTTGTACGATAAAATAATTAGTAAAAAATTGATTATCTCTTTAAAAACTATTCAATATCTATTAAAAGTACAATATTTTGGTTTGAATCATTCAAATAATTTATAATTGAACAATTGCTACATCAAAATGTTAAAAAATCACCCTCTGCAAAATAAATAAGAGAAACCAATTGCTAATTAGACCGTCGATTTGTCAAAAAACGGTACAATCTATATTTTTTTATGATGAATTCAATAATTTGCTTTTATGTTTATTATAAATTTTGATGATTTAGTTGAAGAAACTGAATATGCTAGAACTAGAATTTTTTTTCGTGATTTAAATAGTTTTTTCGAGTATGTAATCAAATTTTTATTTAAATCTAAAAAAGTTACAGACTTTTCATAATGTTTTAAAAGAAAATAAGTAAAAACAGACTATGTCAGTGATTCATATTTCAAATATCACTTAGAGAAATATATATTGATGTATTTTTATGATAAATACTTATTACTTTGTCCGAGTTTAATTGAAACGGACGGATATATACTTTCAAATCATCAGACACAACGCAATTTTTATTAAGATCAATCACATCGCTCCCAGTAAAAAATTCATTCTCCATCATTTTGATATCTTGAGTAACCACTAATTTGTTATCCTCGTAAAATACTACAATCAGTTTGTTAAAATCAAGGTCACGAGTTTTGATAATAGTTATTAAATCTTCGCTGTGTGTGGAAATATATATTATAAAGGAGGTAAAGTTTGACGATTTTGTCTTCCACCAAGTTTTTCACCTGTATCCTGATATAAACATGTATAAATTTATTTCGATGAAATATATTTATGTATTTCATCAAGTTGATAGTCTTTAGATCGATGATTATTTTTTTATCATCAGGCACAATTTTAATGAAATTATATCGCTTTGGAACATTTCTTAACGTAGATAATGATTTTTCAATCAGTTGAATCACTAGTTTATTATTTTCAAATGAAACTTCAATTGCTTTATTACTGTGAAATTCTTTTGGATCTATCAATTCTCTCGTTTCCTTACTTATAAGTTATAACCATACGAAATTCCAACCATTTCCCATTTGGACTTGGAGTAATACCTTGTTCATCATTAACTAGCGGGTTTATGAATTTAGGTGTGTTGTACAATTAATAGGTAAATTAAAACCATTTTTGTTGAAATGTATCAACAACGTACCTGGAAATATTACGCAAAGTGTCAATTGAACATTTGGACCAATTTCTGCTAAAATTTTCCAAGTTTTTCGACATTACAGTATCAGCAGGATCTACACAACTAATATCTACGTCCTCATTATGCTCAACGTTTAATCTAAATTTGGATGATATTGTAAAATAAATCATTATCATTAAAAAAAACACAATTTACGTTATTTACAGGTGTTGTATTAATTAACATACGTGTGAGCCAGTTCATGAACAGCAACATTTATGTCAGTAACATGATTACTTTCGTACATAACAACAGCTCGATTTAATTTAATTCCTTTGTACTTCAATCCGTTAATATTACAAGCACCTCCGAACATGTGATCTGAGACATTTCTTACTTTACTACCCTAGATGTGTAATATACTCTACGCTCAGAGTGATCATTGACACTGTTGATGTTTGTATGGATGCAACCTCAAGTAGTTGGTGCACACTTGGATGTTACATTCAAGGATATTGTATTAAAAGATCATCATAGAGTAGAAGCTAGTACTTGTAAAATTTGGAAAATCCAACAACAGAGGTCGTATTGGGTGTAGTCAATCATCAGTTGGGCTGACTGTTTTTATTTCTATGTAATATATTATGATTAGATAACATAAATTTATATTAATTACTTTTTTCATGCTTGAAAAGTATCAATTCCATAATTAAGGCGTCAAAGTTACATTTCCAAAATTTTTATTATCATGTTGCTTATTTCGGTGTTGTAATGTTCCATTATTGAATCGCAAAATATAAAAGACATTATTTTTTTGAAAAAATGTTTTTTTTCCAATTTTTGTCATCGAAGAGTTAAATTAACTTGAACATATCGAAATATTTAATGTATAAATAAATAGTAGGGCTACTGAATAGAAAGCAACTCAATTTCTCTACACTGATAAAAAAATTGACTTGACTCAAGAGCCAAACTCTTGGACCAAGAATTCCATATTGAAGAAACTGATTTTCTTGTGCCAAGAGAATAAATTCTTGAGACAAGAAATATTTACTTGAATCAAGAATAATTTCTTAACTCAAGAATTTATTCTCTTGATTTAAGAAATATTTACTTGAATCAAGAATAATTTCTTAACTCAAGAATTTATTCTCTTGACTTTAAGAAAATCATTTTCTTCAAAATGGTATTCTTGGTTCAAGAGTTTGGCTCTTGAGTCAAGTCAATTTTTTTATCAGTGTATAGTGCGCAGCTCAAAAGATAGAATATTGACTATACCTAAAGGGAAATCAAAACTACTCCGTGTTACCTTGAGAAAGTAACTTTCAAAGCCATCATGTATTCCTGATCCAAAGTAAACATTGGATAAACATAATTTGTATAACAACAAAAGATCTTAACAATCTTTGGTTACGTTTTTTTGTACTAGTAGAATGAAAGGTGTGAAATAACAATGATGTTTTTCCACACCAGAATGACTTGCAGGTACATCTTGTTTCTTGAAAACTGAAAACGTCACTTTATCATATTATACTATTCCAAGTCTTGCAGGGAGAAGTTCCTCACTTATTATAGTTGCCTATTCAAAAATTTTCATTTTTTTTTCCAACACTTTGCTCTGACTTGAGTTACCAGACCCATTATACTTATGAATTTCCACAAAATCGGAAGTGGGAGCAAAGAGGGAATGTTTATACGACTATAATACAAATTATTTCAAAATTATACCTCGATAGGAACACCGGAAAGGCTTCAAATAAATAAACAAAATGAGGCGAATTTGGGCTTGATTATTCATTTTTACTCTTATATCCTTTGAAAATATTTTTTATTAATACGATAGGGCAGAACAAATTGTATTTCTACAATTCTAAACTCAAAAAAATGAAATTTTATTTTTTTAATCAATCAATTAAGATAAGAAGAATATTTTTTTAAACTTTTATGTGTTTGGTAATTGCAGTATAATAATTATAAATCTTACTCAGCTTATCAAATAACAATCAAATAATAATACTCGCCTGTAATAATAAAAGTAGTCGAATTTTATAAGTAAAATAAAATAATAAAGAACGTATTGTGTTATAATTTGTTCAAATGAGTTAGAAATTTAACATAAAAATAAATTTAATTCAGTTAGAAAAAAAAAATTTAGAATTTAAAAATAACAAAAATATTGTATCCTGTTTTTGATCGATATGTATTATTAATTTAAAAACAAATTAATAAAACGTCCATACTTTACAATATCGAAATTAATTATTTTTTAAATTTATTATTATTTAATTGTGGGTTTTTTTTATTTTTAACTTAACATTTTGAAGGTCAAGCATTAAATTTTTGGCTTTTTCCACTAATTAAAAAAGTGGGTATATAAAAGAACGAGACTTTTTTATTGTTTTATCATACAAGTCTTCAAAGTAAACGTGTGAAGATATTTGAAGAAACGATGGCTACTGTCAAACTTTCAGTTGTGATGGCAATCACCCTTAACATGGTGAGTTTTGCTTTCAATGATGTGATAATCTTAAAAATTAATTTGTATTAGTTAGGCATTTTGAAAGTAAAAATAAGTTACTTTAATAAAATTCATTATTTTAAAAAAGAATAATATTTATACATTCACAATATTGGCTTTATTATGTTTTGTTTTTTCAAAAAAAAAAAATAATCTTGCAAGACTTATTAATAAAGAAGAAATAACAGCTTTCAATAATTCTAATTAAAAAAAATTAATCTGTATATCTGCTGTAATAATTTTGTTTTTTTGATTGCAGATCTATAATTTTAGTTGCGACGGATTCCCTGCAGCCCAAAAAACAATCAACGAAATAAAAGTTCCCGGATTTAATGATGAGTATTTTATTAACCAAAATGGGATCGACTTATTTCAACTTTATTCCAATGAGCAACCGGGTTCTGCAATCCAGCAGAGGAGTCGCCGAGATACAACAAAAGAATCAAACTCCATTACAGAAAAGGAAGTACATCATCAAGACTCCAGTAAATTTGGATTCGGTATTAGGATTTTCGACAAGCCACTGGTATCATTGGAAACCGGCAAAAGTCATGTAGGCAACAAGTGGTCATTGGATAATGAGACCAGCAGAGCAACGTCTTCTTCGGGCTCCTTAGGTTTCGGTAAAGAGCAGCACGATACCAATACGGTTGAAGAAACAAAAAAAGAATCGGAAAACGACGAATCAGGAGAGTCTGGTGTAAAACTCGGTTTTTTTGGATTTAAATCTGCACAGGCTGTCACTAGTCACAGCAGTTCTTCTCATGATCTTACGAGAACTCATCATCAAGGCTTTAGTCATTCGAAAATTACTTTCACCACAGAAAAAAGCGCATTTGGGAATATAGCGTCATGTTGTTCGTAATAATTCACAGAGGTGATCTTTATTGATGATGAAAAAATCTCATTTGAACGACAAAATTTTCATGCAAGTGATTAAAAATCGGCTTACTTATATTATGGCTATGAATATGGATATTATGTACAACTGTTAAATGAAATAAACAGCAAACATTAAACTTATAAATTTCATTATACTGATTTAAAATTTTCCAAGTTATTCTTTATTATATTTTTCTGTATCAAATTTATTTTCTATTTTAGAAAAAAATTAAACATGTTTGAATAAAAAAAAAATCTTTTGAATAAAAATTTCAGACATAAACTTAAAAAAAAACTGACAGAAATTCTTATTTAAAATAGCTTGCTAGATAAATGGCGATTAATATATCAAGAAAATAAATATGCCAGATAAAAATTATTTATAATATTAATATTAATTATTTATAATTTTAAATATAAAAAAAAATCTTGATTTTAATATTTGTTACTTATTTTAAATTTAAACTTTTTAAAATATACTGTCAATATATTATTTTGAAAAAGTAATTGCTAATTTTATTAATATAAATTACTCATAATATGAAAATAAAAAATTTCTATTTGTTGCTATTAAAAATTTATTTATAATTAAAAAAAAATCGGAGTATTATAAGATAGAAATATTAATTAGAAAATTCTAGAATAATTTTAAATTTTCGCGCGTAAAGTACTTTCAAATTCTATTGGTCAAATTAATCCCTCTCCTTCTCCTGAACATATATGAACGTATACTCTTACCTTTAAATAAGTACAAGAGATGAGATGTGTGTTGGTGAGGAAATTGGTGAGTGGTGGCGTGAGCATCAGCGTTAATTTTATCAGTGACTCACGGTAAATGATTGAAGATTGATGTGTATTATATAGGAGTATATAAGTCTCTTAAATAATTAAACAACAGTTGGATAAAGTCCCAATAATTGTAACTTGAAATCTTTAAATATTTTTATGTGCTATAAAGTAATTAATTAATAATTTGTTAATATTTTCAGAAGTGATACGAGCGATTGCGCAGATTAAAACTGTCTATTGATTACCGTTAAATACCGAGAGCAAGTTTATAGCCACACCCGGCGGCCATTTTGGACTAATCCCGTTGTTCGGGTTCATAATAACCGCTAAAATGGACCAAATAACTCCCAAGGAAGTGAGGATCCTCGAGAATCCGGAGGATATCCAGGAGAGACGTGAACAAGTGCTTGGAAGATATTCCAATTTCAAATCCGAAGCACGCAGCAAACGCGACAAACTTGAGGACTCCCGACGTTTTCAGGTACGTCATTTTTAATTCATTAATCGTCACTAATTAATTTGTCCTACTTTTTTTTATTGTATTTTAGATAAGTGACAGATAGTTGATAATTTTTGTCATTGATATTTCAATAATTTGTAGTTATTTATATTATTTTATTTATTTGGAGCAAGTATTTAGAAAGAGCGTACATGACAGAGAGACATCTGATAATTTTTATTGACATAAAAATCAATTTTGCAATTAAAAAAATTTATTAAAATGCATCTATATATTTTCATTTTTATAAATGATTAAAAAAAAAATTCAAATGTTTAATTCGGAAAAAATTAATGTTTTTTTTTTTTTTGTAATAAAAAATTAAATAAGTCTAATTACTGAACATAAGTCAAATGGAGTGCAATGTCTGACGTTTCATAAATATAAAACAAACTTTATATGATTTGTTATATATGTAATTAAATAAATAAAAATTTATCAAGATATTCTTTATAAGAATTGAATAAATAGTTGACTAAAAAACTTTATAAATTTATGTCATATCACAAAATTTGCAATTTTTGTGATTGTTTTTTACTAAATATCTCTAAGGAATTTTTGGTAAGCTCAGTATTTTTTTAGAAATATAAAAATGGAGTTTGTATTTTTCAAATTTTTTACAACCATCTAATTAGTAAATTCAATTTTTTTTATTTCAAAAAAATCCTAACCTGTCATAAGATCAAGACTTTTTATAAATTTAATAAAATCTAAATAATTTAAAACTGAACAGACATTTGATAATTTTTTTAAATAAATCAGCTAATAAATAAAAAAATTTCACAAGTGGAAATAAAAATTTGAATGAAATTTTTTAAGTAATAATTTATTTATTAACGAAAATAAAAAATTATTTTGTCCCCTAATTTACAATAATTACACCTTAATTTTAATTTTAAACATGAATAATATTTAATAAATTAATTTATATTTAAACAGTATTTTAAACGTGATGCGGACGAACTCGAAGGTTGGATCTACGAGAAGCTGCAAGCAGCATCAGATGAAAATTACAAAGACCCCACCAACTTGCAAGCAAAAATCCAAAAGCACCAAGCATTCGAAGCTGAAGTGGCAGCTCACTCAAACGCAATTGTCTTGCTGGACAATACAGGTTCCGAGATGATAGCCCAACACCACTTCTCCAGCGACTTGATCCGCAAGCGTCTCGAAGAATTGCACCGTCTTTGGGAACTTCTGCTCTCCAGACTAGCCGACAAGGGCTTAAAACTCCAACAAGCCCTAGTCCTCGTGCAATTCATCCGGCACTGCGACGAAGTAATGTTCTGGATCAAAGACAAGGAAGCCTTCGTGACCACCGACGAGTTTGGCCACGACCTCGAGCACGTGGAGGTTCTCCAGAGAAAATTTGACGAATTCCAGAAGGACGTCGCTAGCCAGGAGTACAGAGTTACTGAAGTGAACGAGCTGGCTGAAAAGCTACTGCTGGACGGTCACCCAGAGCGCGACACAATCTTGAGCAGAAAGGAAGAACTGAACGAGTCCTGGCAGAGATTGAAGCAGCTTGCGATTCTCAGGCAAGAAAAACTCTTCGGAGCTCACGAGATCCAGCGCTTCAACAGAGATGCTGACGAAACAATGACCTGGATCGCGGAGAAAGACGTGGTTCTGTCTTCAGACGACTTCGGCCGGGACCTCGCGAGTGTCCAGACCCTCCAACGCAAGCACGAAGGAATAGAACGGGATTTAGCAGCTCTGGAGGACAAAGTTTCAACTCTGGGAGCCGAAGCTGATCGACTGGCAGGAATTCATCAAGTAGATCACTCCCAGCAGATCCAAGCGAAGCGCGCAGAGATTATCCAGTCTTGGGAGAGCTTAACAGCTAAAGCTAAAGAACGTCGCTTGAAGTTAGACGAGTCTTACTACCTCCACCGTTTCCTCGCAGACTACCGGGACCTCGTTTCCTGGATGAACGACATGCGAGCTATTATTTCCGCAGACGAGCTCGCTAAAGACGTAGCTGGAGCTGAGGCTCTTCTGGAACGTCACCAAGAGCACAAAGGCGAGATAGATGCTAGAGCTGACAGCTTTGACGCTGCTACTCTCGCTGGGAACCAGCTTCTGGAGCGCAAGCACTACGCTGCTGAAGAAGTTGCTCGTAAATTGACTTCTCTCGCAGAAGACAAATCATCTTTGCTGACTCTCTGGGAAAAAAGGAGGATTTTATATGAGCAGTGTATGGATTTACAACTATTCTATCGCGACACTGAGCAAGCTGATGCTTGGATGGCCAAGCAGGAGGCTTTCCTCGCAAATGAAGACCTTGGAGACTCGCTGGACAGTGTTGAAGCTTTGATCAAAAAGCACGAGGACTTTGATAAGTCTCTAGCAGCGCAGGAGGAAAAAATCAAGGCTCTGGATGAGTTTGCTGGGAAATTAATCGAAGGCGAACACTATGCGGCTGATGATGTTGCTCAGCGGAGGCAGCTTCTGTTGGAGCGTCGCGCTGTTTTGTTAGAAAAGTCAGCTCAAAGGAGACGTAGGCTTGAGGATGCTTACAAGCTTCAGCAATTTGAACGCGACTGCGATGAAACTAAAGGGTGGGTTAATGAAAAATTGAAGTTTGCTACTGATGACAGTTACCTTGATCCTACAAACTTGAACGGCAAGGTTCAGAAGCACCAGAACTTCGAGCAAGAGCTCAATGCTAACAAAACCAGGATGGAAGAAATGGTTTCTACTGGTCAAGAGTTAATTGACAGTGATCACTACGCCAGCGACCGCATTCGCGCAAGGACTGATGAAATTGTCACCCTCTGGGAAAGTCTTACTAAAGCATCGGAGAAGAAAGGAACTAAATTACAGGAAGCTTCGCAGCAACAGCAGTTCAATCGCACTGTTGAGGATATTGAACTCTGGCTGTCGGAGGTTGAAGGTCAATTGATGTCTGAAGACTACGGCAAGGATCTTACGAGTGTCCAAAATTTACAGAAAAAACACGCTTTGTTAGAAGCTGATGTTGGCTCTCATGCTGATAGAATCGAGAGCATTTCTCAAGCTGCTGAACAGTTTGTCAGCACTGGACACTTTGACGCGGATAATATTCGCGCGAAGCAGCAGCAACTTCAGGGCCGTTATTCGGCACTTCAAAGACCAATGAGCATCCGCAAGCAAAGATTGTTGGACTCTTTGCAGGTCCAGCAACTGTTCCGAGATATTGAGGATGAAGAAGCTTGGATTCGCGAGAAAGAACCTGTTGCTGCAAGCACAAACCGTGGAAGAGACTTGATTGGTGTGCAAAATTTGCAGAAGAAACATCAAGCAGTTCTGGCGGAAATAAACAACCACGAGCCCAGAGTAGCTGCAGTTTGCCAAGCTGGTTCAAGAATGCTTCAGGATGGTCACTTTGCTGCAGATGAAATCAGCCAGCGTTTAGCTGCGCTTGATGAACACTGGGGACAACTCAAGGAGAAAGCAAGACAGCGCAAGGTTGATCTGGACGATTCGCTTCAAGCGCATCAGTACTTTGCAGATGCTAACGAAGCTGAGTCTTGGATGAAGGAGAAACGTCCGATTGTTCTGAATTCAGACTACGGAAAGGATGAAGACAGTTCTGAAGCTTTGTTGAAGAAACACGAAGCGCTTGTAAGTGACTTGGAAGCTTTTGCTAGCACTATTGCCGCTCTGAGAGAGCAAGCTGCTGCTTGTCGGCAACAAGAGACACCCACGGTGGAGATTGCGGGTAAAGAATGCGTCGTTGCGCTTTATGACTACGCTGAGAAGTCTCCAAGGGAGGTGTCAATGAAGAAAGGAGACACTTTGACGCTGTTGAACTCTAACAATAAAGATTGGTGGAAGGTTGAGGTCAATGACAGACAAGGCTTTGTTCCTGCTGCTTATGTTAAGCGGGTTGAACCAGAAGCAGGCCTGAGCGCTTCCCAGCAGAACTTGGCCCGCGAGCAGAGTTCTATTGCTGCTAGACAAGCTCAAATTCAGGCTCAGTACGATGACTTGCTTCAGTTGGCTCGCGAGCGCCAGAATAAGTTGAATGAAACCGCTAAAGCTTATGTTTTGGTGCGTGAAGCAGCGGAGCTTGCGACCTGGATCAAAGACAAGGAAAATCATGCACAGGTTCAGGATGTTGGTGAAGATTTGGAGCAAGTTGAAGTCATGCAGAAAAAGTTTGATGATTTCCAGGCTGACTTGAAGGCCAATGAAGTTAGACTGGCTGAGATGAATGAGATCGCTGTGCAATTGATGAGTCTTGGACAAACTGAGGCAGCTTTGAAGATTCATACGCAGATTCAGGACTTGAATGAGAAATGGACTAGTTTGCAGACGCTTACTGCTGAGAGGGCGAGTCAACTGGGCTCGGCTCATGAAGTCCAGCGTTTCCATCGCGATGTTGATGAAACTAAGGACTGGATCCGGGAGAAAGACGCTGCGTTGAATAATGATGATTTAGGAAAGGATTTGCGCAGTGTTCAGGCTCTGCAGCGCAAGCACGAGGGCCTTGAAAGAGACTTGGCGGCTTTAGGAGACAAAATTAAGCAGCTGGATGAAATTGCTAATCGGTTGATGCAATCCCATCCTGATACTGCTGACCAAACTTATGTAAAGCAGAAGGAAATTAATGAAGAGTGGACTCAGCTGACTGCCAAGGCTAATTCTCGCAAAGAAAAGCTGCTTGATTCTTACGACCTTCAGAGATTCCTCAGTGACTACCGGGATCTAATGGCTTGGATTAATTCTATGATGGGCTTGGTTGCTTCTGAGGAACTGGCCTCTGATGTAACTGGAGCTGAAGCTCTTCTAGAGCGTCATCAAGAACATAGAACTGAAATTGATGCAAGAGCGGGAACATTCCAAGCTTTCGAGCTTTTCGGCCAGCAGCTATTGCAGTCGAGTCATTATGCTAGCATTGAGATTCAGGAAAAGCTTGAATCTATGGCTGAGGCGAGACAAGAGTTAGAGAAAGCCTGGATCCAGAGACGCATGCAGCTGGACCAGAATCTTGAACTTCAATTGTTCTGTCGTGACTGCGAGCAAGCTGAGAACTGGATGAGTGCTCGGGAAGCTTTCCTAAGCACCGCTGATGCAGTTGACAGCAGTGACAATGTTGAAGCGTTGATTAAGAAGCACGAGGACTTTGACAAGGCTATCAATGCTCATGAGGAAAAAATTGCTGCGCTGCAAACTCTTGCTGATCAATTAATTGCCGCTGAGCACTACGCTGCTAAACCTATTGACGATCGTCGTTGCCAGGTGTTGGATCGTTGGCGACATCTTAAAGATGCTTTGATCGAAAAGAGGTCCAAGCTAGGAGAGTCTCAGACTCTTCAGCAGTTTTCAAGAGACGCTGATGAAATGGAGAACTGGATTGCCGAGAAGCTTCAGCTGGCTACGGAAGAAAACTACAAGGACCCAGCGAACATTCAGTCTAAACATCAGAAGCACCAGGCTTTTGAAGCCGAATTGGCTGCTAATGCTGATAGGATTCAGTCAGTTTTAGCAATGGGAGGAAACCTTATTGAAAAACACCAGTGTGCTGGCTCTGAAGACGCTGTTCAAAAGCGCTTGGCTTCCATTGCTGACCAATGGGAGTACTTGACCCAGAAGACCACTGAGAAATCTCTGAAACTCAAGGAAGCTAACAAGCAGCGTACTTACATCGCAGCTGTAAAAGATCTTGACTTCTGGCTCGGAGAAGTTGAAAGTTTGCTTACTTCTGAAGACGCTGGAAAGGATCTTGCGTCTGTTCAGAATCTGATGAAGAAGCACCAGCTGGTAGAAGCTGACATTCAGGCCCATGAAGAAAGAATCAAAGACATGAACGGACAAGCTGATTCGCTGATTGAAAGCGGACAGTTTGACGCGGCTGGTATTCAAGAGAAGCGACAGAGCATCAACGAACGCTACGAGAGAATCAGAAATTTGGCAGCTCATCGCCAAGCTCGTCTTAATGAAGCTAACACGCTGCATCAATTCTTCCGAGATATTGCTGATGAAGAATCCTGGATCAAGGAGAAGAAATTGCTGGTCGGCTCTGACGATTACGGCCGCGATTTGACCGGAGTCCAGAATCTTAAAAAGAAGCACAAGAGGTTGGAAGCTGAGTTGGCTAGCCACGAACCAGCCATCCAAGCTGTCCAAGAAGCTGGAGAGAAACTTATGGATGTTTCCAACTTGGGAGTGCCGGAAATAGAGCAGCGTTTGAAGCTTCTTAATCAAGCCTGGGCTGAATTGAAACAATTAGCAGCAACTCGCGGGCAGAAGCTTGATGAATCATTGACTTATCAGCAATTCCTGGCGAAGGTTGAAGAAGAGGAAGCTTGGATTACTGAGAAGCAGCAGCTGTTGTCTGTTGAGGATTATGGAGACACTATGGCTGCCGTTCAGGGGCTATTGAAGAAGCACGACGCCTTTGAAACGGACTTTGCTGCTCATGGAGAACGCTGCAAGGAAACTTGCGACGCTGGAGAAGCTCTTATTAAGGGTGGTAATCATCGCGCGGACGCTATTGGCCAGCGTTGCAATCAATTGAGGAACAAACTTGAACAGCTTGGTGGGCTTGCTGCTAAACGCAAGACCAGGCTTAATGACAACTCGGCTTACTTGCAGTTCATGTGGAAAGCAGATGTCGTCGAGTCCTGGATCGCTGACAAGGAGACTCATGTTCGTTCTGAGGAATTTGGAAGAGATTTATCAACAGTCCAGACTTTGCTGACCAAGCAGGAGACTTTTGACGCGGGACTGCATGCGTTTGAGCATGAAGGTATCCAGAATATTACCACCTTGAAGGAGAGACTCGTTGATTCTGGTCATGATCAAGCTGCCAGTATTCAGAAGCGCCACGCTGATGTCATCACTCGTTGGCAGAAACTACTTGCCGATTCTGACGCGCGTAAGCAACGTCTGTTGCGCATGCAGGAGCAGTTCCGTCAGATTGAGGAATTGTATCTGACTTTCGCGAAAAAGGCTTCGGCTTTCAACTCCTGGTTTGAAAATGCTGAGGAAGATCTGACTGATCCCGTCCGGTGTAACAGCATTGAAGAAATCCGCGCACTCAGAGAAGCTCACGCGCAATTCCAGGCCAGTCTTTCATCAGCTGAAGCGGACTTTCAGGCTCTGGCTGCGCTAGACAGGCAGATCAAGAGCTTCAACGTTGGTCCTAACCCGTACACCTGGTTCACGATGGAAGCTCTTGAAGACACCTGGCGGAATTTGCAGAAGATTATTAAAGAGCGAGATGTTGAGCTTGCTAAGGAAGCGACTCGTCAAGAGGAGAATGATAAACTGAGGAAGGAGTTTGCTAAGCATGCTAATGCATTCCACCAGTGGCTGGCTGAGACAAGGACTTCCATGATGGAAGGCTCAGGGTCGCTGGAGCAGCAGCTGGAAGCTACTAAGAGGAAGACTCAGGAGGTGCGGGCTCGCAGGCAAGATCTCAAGAAAATTGAGGACCTTGGAGCTACTCTCGAGGAACATTTGATTCTCGATAATCGTTATACTGAGCACAGCACTGTGGGGTTGGCTCAGCAGTGGGATCAACTGGACCAGCTGGGAATGAGGATGCAGCACAATTTGGAGCAGCAGATACAAGCTCGCAACCAGTCTGGGGTGTCTGAAGACGCGCTTAAGGAGTTCTCGATGATGTTCAAGCACTTTGACAAGGACAAGAGTGGACGATTGAATCATCAGGAGTTCAAGTCTTGTTTAAGAGCTCTTGGGTATGATTTACCGATGGTAGAAGAGGGCCAGCCTGATCCTGAATTTGAGAATATTCTTGATATTGTTGATCCCAACCGTGATGGATATGTTTCTTTGCAAGAGTACATGGCGTTTATGATTAGTAAGGAAACTGAGAATGTTCAAAGCTCGGAGGAAATCGAGAACGCTTTCCGGGCTATTACTGCTGCCGATCGGCCTTATGTCACCAAAGAGGAACTTTATGCTGTAAGTAGTCTTGAAATTTTTTTTAATTATTGCTAAAAATATTGTTAATTTTTTTTTTTAAAATTCATCACTGTATTAAATTAAAATTAATTGATGGTATTCAACAAAAATAATTTTAATGACAATTGTAATATGAATCATTGACTTTTGACCTTAATAATTATAATTAATTAAACTTATTAATTTTTTTTTTTTTTTTTTCAGAACCTCACTAAAGAGATGGCTGATTACTGCGTAGCCCGCATGAAACCATACGTTGATCCAAAAACCGAACGACCAATAACAGCAGCTCTAGATTACATCGACTTTACTCGCACGCTTTTCCAAAATTAATTCTTAAAATTCCAATTATTAAATCAAATATATATTCAATTTAATTAACAGCATTACCTATTGTTAACAATTATCTATTTTTTAATAGAGCACTGTTATTCGAAAAATATAATAAATATTGCTTCAAGTTCAAAAATATATAATAAAAATCAAAACAATTTAAACTTTCAAAAAATTTTATTCCAAAATAATCCATTATATACAAAAATTTATTTAGGTAAAAACCTATTAAGAGCCTGTCCATAATTTTTCTTCACTTTTTTGTCAACCTTAGTTTTCTTAATAGTAGGCAAACTTTCAATCTCCTTGCGTTTCTCCAGTTCCTTGAGAATCTTCTTAGTCTTGACAACTTTGGCAGTGCCTCCCTTTCCTTTAGCCTTAGTCTCTCGAGGTTTAAAATCAATATTCTTGGGCTTGACAAACGGCAGCTTGTTCTTGGCGTCAACTTTTTCCTTCAACTTAGAAACATCAACCTCCGCAATAGCTTCCGGATTGAGAGTAATAAATTCCGGCTGAATTTTATCAAGCAAACTCTTGACCTCTCTTTCATTTCTCTGAGACTTAGTTTGGAAGGGATTGATCTCCAGAGCGTCAAAGTTCGCCTCTGCAGAGCCGGGTATCAAAAGAGAAGTGAACTTCTTCTCACTGCCAACACCAAGAACGTCCTCGAACGGGCAGAATTGCATTCCTGACACATTCCAGGAGGACCTGTGGCTTAAATAACGCTTCATATCAGCGCCACTTTCTTTAAAGACCTCAACGACGTTGCCAGTCGACACAGCGAGCATTCCCTTTTGACTGTACGCCACATTGTCCGCTGGAGACCTCAGCATGATGTTATGAACCGGACCAGTCAACTGACGCGCGTCCCAGATTTTTAGCGAGCGATCTGGACAACTAGTCGCCATGTAAGTCCCGTAAGGATGGACAGTGCAAGCACTGATGGCCTGTCTGTGACACAGCATCCGCACCAGAGGCTCTTGGAGGTTCGGCGACCACATCGACACCACTCCCTTGGAATTCCCAATTAATAGGAGGGCGTTTGTCGGGTTCTGGGTCATAACTCGGATCTTTCCGACTTGAGTATTGTAACGCTTCAATAATTCTCCGGTGGACACGTCGACCCAAGCTAGATTACCGTCACTGGACCCGCTGCAAAGAAGAAAGTGATACGGCAAAAATTCCAGCTTAGTTGCTCTGTTCATTCTTTTTAAACAGTGAATTTCTATCCCTTGGTTGTCGTACACGTAGACCCACTCTTTCTGAGCAACTGCGAACATCGTTTCCTGGTGGAACCAAGTTACGTCATGAACAGATTCCATGACATTCATTTCGCATGAAAGTTTCTTCGTGACCCAGTCGAAGGCGGCAACGTGCCCCATCTTACCACCTAGAAGTAAATGCCTGCCGTTCCGAGTGTACTTCGGGTAATAGGGGCCAAAGGCTAGGTCCAGGTCGAAAAACTTCGCCGCGGAAGTTATGTCGACGTTTGCCGCGATATCTGTCTGGCGGAACTGGGTCGTAGTTTCTCCAGCATCTGTTTCTAAGTATCCTCCGGATTCTGTTAGAAGCAACTCGGCTCTTGCGGTGTCCTCGAGTGTTTTCTCGATCAGCTTTTCTCGTTTTTTTAAACGAGCTATGTTGTACTTGTTTTTTATCTTGGTTTTACTGCGGCGCACTTCCACTCCGGTTCCTCGGTAATATTTTTTTAGAACTTTTTTGTCCACTGGAGCTCTGCCTGGGTATTTTCCCTCGCGCATTTCTGTTGGATTTTATTTATTAGATATTAATATTTTAATAATGAAAATTAATCTAAAGAAAAATATTGGAGATTTATTTTTATTTAATGAAGATTGAAAGTTAAGAATAATTTTTGATTTTAAAATAGTATGAAAATTTATTGGTTTATTTTAAACAAAGAATTTTAAAAATTATAAATTATTTTTTATTTATTTTGATTTAGATTAATTAAAAATTAAAAATTAAAAATTGTTAGATATCTTTCAGTATCATAAAATAGTTATTTTAATAATAAATTTACTTACTTTTTTTCTCAGCCATTTTAATTATTTGTTTTTATAAATTTAATATTAATTTTAAACAATGTTATTCCTTTTTATCACACAATTACAATAAATAAAAACGTGTGTCAATTTCACAGGTTAAGTTTTCAAGTGTATAACCAGTTTTCCGTGTTTTCCGTGAGATAATATAGAGAAATTATGCGCCATCTGGCGCCGGTAAAAATTTTTGACACTAATAAATGTTTAAATGTTGACTTAAGTATGACATACAAAATCAGCTGATTGTTGATAGACAAAATTGAATCTTTGTTTATAAATTTAAATAGCAAAAGATTAATTTGTTTTTTTATATTTTTACTACAATTCATTAAATACAATATCTAAATTATCCTTTGAAAAAAAAAAAAATTGCAAGACTTACTTATGACAAAAAAACAAAACATTGAAAAAATTTTGACAACTTATTTTTACTGGAATAAAAAAATGGCTGAGAAAGTAAACCCAAAAGTGAGTAATTAATTTATATTTTTTTTTATTTAAAAATGAATATTTATTTCTGATTAATCTCAGGATAAGACATGTGACTGCAAGGGTTGGTGTATAGCAAAAAAAGACAACCCAGAAAAAGGAATCTTCCAATCGATTACAAACATCGTCTACGTTTTCCGAACCATAAAGCGAATCGACTTGAAGATCTCCAGGCTGAAGCTGAGGATCGAGCGAAAATACGGAAATGTCGAGGATCAGAAGAAGAAACTAAAGGTATACATGTCATCAAGAGAATCTTACCTGCAGTACGTGCATGGAATTATTTACAAGCTGGACTCATGCAGGTTTGTAAGAGAGCATCTCCAAGGAACAGAACTAGGTGACAAGTATCTGAAAATAAAGCAGGAAAACTCTACGCTTTATGACAAAGATTATTTTGTTAAAAATGAGCTGCCTAATGACCTTGGCGAACGGCCGATTGGTATTAATTAAAGTTTAGAGTTATTAATTTAAGTTTATTTAAGTAGATTATATAACTTTTGTAAAATTTTTAATTAGACTCGTCTTTAAGAATTATTAAGTAGTCATTTAATTTATAGTTTTTTGACATTTGTATTTATCTATTTATTGTACTTTAATCGATGTAAATATTTGTCAAAATTAATTAGGATTTAAAATTTGTACTTAGATAAATATTATTGTAAGGCAGTTAATATTTATATTTAATTTTTAGTTTAAACTTAAAAATTTGCTTACATTTAATTATTTTCTCTAATAGTAAGCAATAAGTTGATTAAAAAAATAACAAAAATGACAAAGTAGCTGATACATACATATATTAAAAGTGCAATTTAAGATGTAATTTTAGAAGAAAGAAAGTAAAGGACAAAATTTTAATTATTCTTTTGAGAGAAATATCAGCACATTGTATAAAATATAATTAAATTTAAGAATTAATACCAAAAAATAAATTTTTATAAACAAAATGACATTTTTATAATTTTTTTAACAAAAAAAAATTAATCTAATTAGAAGTTTTAAAAAATTATAAATGCAGTTTTTAAAAAATAATTTTCAAGTTTATTTTTAAAAGAATTGTCAATTGTCAATATAAATTTATTTAATTTATTCAACAAGTACTTGAATAAAATAATAATTTTAAAAGTAAATTAGTATGCGCGACACTTGTTAGTTGTATTAATAAATCGAAAATAAAATAAATCGACTGCAATAAAGTATATCGATAGCCAATAGTACTAAAACTCGACCGTAGATGGTTACGAAGAATCGAATTTGGGCAGGGAAATGTATGATGGCGGCGACCGCGATCATGTCGCAGAGTAATGGACTTCAATTAAAGAAAAAAGAAGACATTAATAATAAAGAGAATCTTTGGTAAGTAAACAACAATATATTTTTAATTAACGAAGAGTTAAATGAATTTATTTAAAAATAAAGTTATCTTTAAAGCGAGAAACTGAAGTAAATACCAGCGCCTCGTTGAACTTGACGTCAGTGCTCGACTTTAAACACATTTATCTATTTATATTTTATTTAAAACTGATATTCGGTGTCTATTGTCTAGGTCTTCAATTTTAGCTGAAGTACAAAATAGTGGAAACAACAAATTGCCCTCGAATAAGAATGTGCTGGTTTTAGGTGAGAATATAAATATTACTCGGGTAAAAAGTTTATTGTTGTGAGGTGTTTCCAAATGACATGCGGATGATATCATTGATGATTTATTTTGTTGTAGGTGACAATGAAAGTGGTAAGACAACTCTTATTGCCAAATTGCAAGGTGTTGAGGATCCTAAAAAGGGATCTGGGTTAGAGTTTGCTTATATCGATGTCCGAGACGACTACAGAGATGGTAAAATTATTATTATTATTAATAACTGTGATTATCATTAATATTAATATTTATGTGGGTGTGACTATTTTCCTTTGGAATTTTTAGATCAAACTAGGCTATCTGTATGGGTATTAGACGGTGATCCGGGTCATGCAAATCTTCTTAAATATGCATTGAACGCTGAAAAATTTCCCCATACTTTAGTTATGTTAGTAGCTGCTATGACAACACCATGGGCTCTTCTCGACCAATTACAATCTTGGGCAGCACTTCTTGGTGACCATATCGATAAATTGCCGCTAGATAATGATACAAGACAAAAATGTAGACAATTAAGTATGTATTATTATTTTTTTTTTTATGATACTCAAATCACCAGATTTTTGATAATTTTTTTAAAATAATAATAAAGCTAGCCGACATTTTTGATTTTGCTTAATTTATTAAATTATAACTAAAAAATATTTTTAAAAAATTGCACTTATAGTTTTTAACAAATAAAAAAATTTTTTTTTATTTTTTTGTTAAAAAAAAAATCATAAAAATTTTTAGATGTCGGCTAACTTTATTTTCATTTTTTTTTAATTATTATAATATAAATATTTGCATTGATTATTTTTATTTTATTTTATTTCAAATAGAAATAGATGTCTGTTAATTTTAGTATCATATTTTTTTTAATAATTTAGATAATAAATATTCTAAGGTCAATAATTAATTATGATATTAATTATGACTTTCTCACTTATCAGAATTTTTTTAACGACTCAAATTGATTGTTGAGTTGAACTTTAAATTATATTGAACAATAATAATAATAATAATAATCAATCCGATAACAACTCAATTAAATAGAATAATTGTTATAATATAAATTAAAGTTTTATTATTTTAAATGATAAAATTGAAATTTTTTTTATAATTTAAAAAAAAATTTTTTAGATTTAATTTTATATAGTGGAGAGGAGCTTTTAGTGCAGATCCATTTATCTCAATTAGATTTCATAGAACGTTTCCTATTAACCTAGACTTATCATTGAGCAAATATACCACTCAACAGCTTTGAAGCTGAGTAAATAATTAAAGTACTCTGAATCAAGCAAAGTCAGTCATTACGGTAAATTCAAATCGACTAGAATAGTTACTAAGCAAAAATCTAACTACAGTCTATTGATTAGATCCGTATCGCTTTAAATTGTTCTATAAATATCATAAAAAAAATTGGATAAATTGGACGAGAGTATTGCTAGTAAATAAAATGAATATTTAATTGAATTTGAATTATTTAGATGTGAAAAAGTGGCAAGATTACACGGAACCTGGAGATGAATTAGATCCAGGCAGTCCATTAAGACGCACAAGCCGTAATTTAGATGATGATGCGGACAATCTACCATTACCTGAAGGTGTACTCACTACTAATTTAGGATTAGACGTTGTTGTTGTAATTACAAAGACAGATTATATGTCAACGCTTGAGAAAGAGCATGATTACAAGTAAATTTATTATTATTTAATTAATATTAAAAGCTATTTTATTAAATCTATTAAAATAAATTATTTTTCAGAGACGAGCACTTTGATTTTATGCAACAATGGATCAGGAGATTTTGTCTGCAATATGGAGCCGGGTTATTTTATTGTTCTGCTAAAGAAGATAAAAATTGCGACTTGTTGTATAAATACCTCACCCATAGAATTTATAATCTACCTTTTAGGACACCTGCATTAGTTGTAGAAAAGGACGCTGTGCTAATGTAAATAATTTAAAAAAATAACCTTATATTATTATTAAGTCTTGTGTTAAAAAGGTTTAAAGTATGATAATAACTTTTAATTTCAGACCTGCTGGCTGGGATAACATTAAAAAAATTGCTATACTCCATGAGAATTTACAGTCAATGAAACCGGATGATTATTATCGTGACGTTATCGCTCAGCCATCTGTTAATAGAAAGGTTTTTTATTTTTAATTAAAAATATTAATTTTTTTTTTAATTTATCAATTTATTGTTAATCTTCCATGTGGTGTGTTATTATGTCTTGTAATATATCAAGAGAATTTTTTTTTTCTAATATTTAATGCAAATATTCTGTATATATTTTTTTATGATTATAGTGTGTAGCACGTGAAGTCGAAATAGTTGCAGAAGACGAGCAAGCCTTCTTGGCTAGACAGCAGGCAACGTTGTCTGGTCTAAGAGATCCTTCTCGATCACCCACAACTCGAAATCAGGCAAGCACTGGACCTCACATACAGGTTGTACCAATGATTTTTAATAGAGCATGCTTAAATGTCGCTCGAGTGTAACTAACTCCATTTATACTCATTTTAATAATTGTGATACATGAAACATTTACTTGTATATGAAAGGTTTGTTTTTATATTTTTTTTTAAAAAGTGTAATAATTTTGTGTTCTGTTAAAATTTAAGCATGATCTAATATCAGTGGTATCAACTGGTAATTGTAATTAATATTTTTATTTGTATTTATCTCATAATTTTGTGTCTAAATATCTGGAAATTTTATTTTGTCATCAAATATAAATTTATATTTTTTTTTGCATGTTAAAATATTTTGGTAATTATTTACATTTTCAAATTTTTTTTTTCAACGCATTTATGATAAAAAAAAAAAAAATAAAGATTTCGATAACTTTTTTGCCTTCAAAAACTTTGGCTCTCACTTTTAAATATTAATACCAATATTTTTTACGATGAAAAATGATTTATTTATAAAATAAAAAAAATTTATTCATGCCTCAAAAAAAATCCTCAGATATTCAGACACGTAATCACTCAAGTAACACAAAAAAAAGTTAATTAATTTGATTAAAAAATTGATTACATAATAACAGATTTTTTGTGCCGCTTGGTAAATATTGATGTTGAGATTGATATTAAATATATTTTAATAATAATAAATGAAAATGCAGGTACCGTCGCCTAATAAAAAACTTGACGCTAAAGGAGCAAGTGCCACACCATCAGGCGAAGGTGTATTAGCAAACTTTTTCAATTCTTTATTATACAAAAAGACTGGCGCGTCCCCGGGTGGTCCAGGTACCAACACACCTGGAAGTTCTGGTAGTAGTCCCATAAAAATTGGTAAGCCATTAAATGAATTAAATTAAACGATAATCGTTTTATTTATAGACTAGAGGAGAGTAGGGTAATAAATGTTGAATGTTTGATGTTTAATGTAGATGGTGGACCAGTCGATAAAGCTGCGATGCGCAATGATGCAGCCGCTGAACTAGATCGTATTACTCGGGATAAAACAAGAGATAAAAAATCACTGTCGTCAGAGCATAAATCATCATCGTCGGACCATAACTCATCTTCGGAATGTTAATGTAGCTTGCGTAATTTATTATTATTATTATTATTATTATTATTATTATTAATATTAATATTAAAATTTAATTGATGGTCGTTTGCAGCCACAAATAAATTTAATAAATTGTAACACAAATTTTCATTACTTAATTTAATAATTAAAATACTTGAAGTTTATAATTATAAATAAAATAAATGTCAGCTGTATTTTTTTTATTTTGTCTCTAATATTTATCAAGCAGCTTTGGTACAGCCATCGTTAATTATTCTTATCAAGTCACACTCATCAAGCAAATTATATTTATAAATATATTTTTATTTGGCTAAGTTTTAATCTTTGTCATCATTAGAATGTCTAATTTTTTTTAGCAATGTGTAATTTAAATTTAAATAAATCATTTTTTACACGATTTTTATTTTCTTTATTAATATTTATTTTTTTTTTCTATTTTTCTGAGTCAGTAAATTTATTATCAATAATAATAATAATAATACATGCGCTATATAACAAGTATCGAAAATTAATTTTAATAAATTTAATAAAATTTTTTACACTTGAAATAATATAAACAATTAGTGTCTTTATAATTAATAAACTAACATCTAAAAATAATTACCTAATGCCTATTTAAACAACTAGGCATAACATAATTTGGCCTCTAAATAACATAAAAAATAAACGTCAACAATCAGTGACAACTAAACATGTATACATAATATATATATATATATTAATAGTAAATAGTAAATGTTAAAAATAGAAATAATGTAAAAAATTTTTAAATTCATTTCTACAAAAATATTAATTTAAACTGTTAGAGCTATTATAAAAAAATTGCAAAAAATGAACCGTCTTACTATCTGTGCGCAGTTAACGCGGCTTCCCGTGTAAACTTAACGCAGTCACAGTCTTTTATAATTGATTATTAGTGTCTAGTAATTATAATTAGTTTTATCTATAATCTTATCAGTTATCATAGATTAGTACGTATGATAGTTAATTATTAGAGCTTATAAATTAACGCTACGCTTATGTAATAATTATTATCGTTGTCATTGCTTCAATGAACTTTGTTCTACTAGTAGAGGAGAATACGCTTGTCGACAGCTTTGCGACAAATAGGGCATTCGGACATGCGATCACCACACATTTGACATGTCCCGTGGCCGCACAAAAATATCATGTTCTTTAATCGGTCTAAGCACACTGGACACATTGTCTGGAACAAATATTAAATAAATAAAATTTAGCTTTATTAAATAATAATTCTTGTTAAATTGCACTGCACTTTTTTAATTATTGATATTTTTAAAGATATAAGCTCATCCTGATGTGACACTCATCAAGAGCTTTCATTTGAGTACCCACATCAATTTTTCATATATTTTATATATTTATATATATTATATATATATATAAATATATGAAAAATATATCAAAAATGCATGTGGATACTCAAATGAAAGCTCTTGTTGAGTGTAACATCGAAATGAGCTTATATCTTTAAAAATGTCAATAATTTACAGGATACAATGTCATTTCTTAATTATTGACATTTTTTAATATATAACCTCATCTTAATGTTACACTTATCAAGAGCTTTCATTTGAGTACCCACATCAAATATAACCTCATCTTAATGTTACACTTATCAAGAGCTTTCATTTGAGTACCCACATGCATTTTTGATATATTTTTCATATATACACATATATAATATATATAAATATATGAAAAATTGATGTGGGTATTCAAATGAAAGGTCTCGATGAGTGTAACATCGTGATGAGCATATATCTTTAAAAATGTCAATAGTTCACAAGTTACAAGGTGATTTCTTAATTATGTATCTAGAGCATTATTGTTCTCTTAATAATATAGATCATACACTGAGAAGATTTATTATAAATTAAAATCACAATTGCAAGAATATATATTTCTTTCAGTGCAAAATACTTTATTTAAAAATTAAAAATAAATATTTCTTCAAACAATATTTATCATCTCAGTGTATAATAATTTTTTATAGCCCTGATAAAAAAGTAATTACACTTTTTATTAATTAAAAGATTACCTGTTCTTTAATATCCTGTAATTGCTGTTGTAATTTTTGTATATCACTATGGGATGTATCTCGACTACCGTTATTCATTAATACCGCCTCTGTGTTAGTATTATTAGTATTCAGCAGCACGGATTCATCCTCGACGTCAGATTTAACTTCCGATATCGTACCTATACAAAATAGATAAAAAAAAAAAAAAGTGCTCTAGTCATTAGTATTTATTTTTTCATCAATGGATTAAAGTAGATATCGGGAAATGGTTTATATTTAATTAAAAATTTCAATTAAAAAGATTTTACTTGCAAAGGATTATTTTGAGCAGCAAAATCTTTAGTGAAAAAAAATCCAATAATAATTGTACTTTATATTATAAATAAATATGAAAAATGTTGTGGGAATTTTGGACGTAATACCTGAGGCATTTTGTCCTTTAATATAAGAAATATCACCTCCTCCGCCGCAACAGATGGACAAGGGTACCATGTGCTGAATTTGAGCCCGACACTGGACACATTTCTTCATCAGGGTGGCGCAGCTTTCACAGGCACACATATGACCGCATGGACGGAATAGAATGCCAGCTTTGCGATCGGAACAAACCACGCATTCTTCAATCTGTGAACAACAAATTGGACGCTCAACCAAAAACCTATTCTCTCAACCGCAAATCTAATGATCGACTCTCTATCGAATTATTTGGTTAATTAATCATTAATAATAATAAATCACTCACTTTAACTCGTGACACAACATTTTCACGGCAAATTAAACATTTTTTGACCCTCGGCGCGCAGGCATTGCAGCAGACGACGTGACCACAAGGATTAAATAACATTTCTCTTTTCGCGTCCGAGCAAACCAAGCATTCATCGATTGTCTGGGCGTGTGTCATTGTCTCGATATCGTGCCTGTAAATCGATAAGTACTTTATTAATTGATATTAATTACCTAGTCGCTTTTAATCTTAATAAACCTTCATTTTTTATTATTGATTTATTATTCTGTCTATTTTTTTTTTTTAAATATTTAAATCTGATAATATTTTTAGTAAAAAAATTATTTATATTTTTGTTAAAAATAAATTTTCAGAATTTTTAATTTTTATGCCAAAAAAAAAATTCCATAAAACTAAAGCAAATATTTTTTCTACAGTAAATTTATTATAAAAATAAAATAAAGGAGTCTAGTAGAATCCCTAAAAAGTTAATAATTAATTAATTAATTAATGAATAAATCAATTAGATAAATTAATGAAGTAAGAGTTAAAAACTTACGACTCCTTGTTTTTGTGACAATTTGTAAGAGTCTTGCAAAGATTGGGATCAGGACAAAGATCGAGTGGAGTTTGTCCCTTTTTGTTTTTGAGCTCAAGATCAGCGCCATGAGCTGCTAGAAAACAAGCGATAAAAGAGCTGCTCTTCTTATCTTGTCCTTGTGAACCGAGACCCATTAATAGTCGTCCTACATCCTTGACATCTTGCAATTGCCGTAGCTGTGATAGCGTATGATGACGCAGTGCTTCGTGAAGAGGTGTATCGCCGTCCTTATCAGCGACGTTAACATTCGCACCCTCTCGTACCAGCAACTAATTAAACCAACAGAGTAATAATAATTATTGTTATTATTTGTAAGCGTTTACTCAAGCGAACAGTAAGCTCCCATCTTTTCTTTAATTAAAAAAAATACGTCTCTGTGTTTACGTTCAGGTGTGGATAAGCATAAACATGAACATGACACATGAATGTGAATGTGAAGGTATATTCCAAGAAGTCACTTGTACTTACTCGAACGATTTGAGTATGCTGACGCTCCACGGCAAGATGTAGCGCAGTCTGCAAATTGACATTCTGAAGATCCAGGTCAGCTTTGCCAACTCGAGCCAATAATTCGGCGACTTCAACATGGTTATTGAGGGCAGCAAGATGAAGGGCTGTATACCCATCGTCCTTTTTCTCATCAACTATCCACGGCCGGGGAAGTTTTGAAAGAAGAATCCGCATTGCACTGAAATAAAATTACTTGTATTGGATTTGTTTTCTCTTTTATTTTCCTTTTCTATTTTCTTTTTTTCCAACCTTTTCTCATCACGGGTTATTTATTTAAAATTGCAATTTAATCCAAGTTACTTTTAGTTCACTGATTATTAAATAAACGAAATTAAAGAAAAAATAGAGAAAGATTTTGTATAGATGTTAAGAGAATTCAAAGCCCTTAAAGGCTCGTCCCTTCAAGCTATATTTATTCTTCTAAATAAATATATATATATATATATATATATATATATATAATTTTATTGAAATAGTTTCAATGATTTATGGTCATTTTTTAATTAAGTTAGTCAAATTAAAATTTCTATTCTGAATAATTTTAAACGTCAAATTTCTCCTGAAATTTTTTTTAGAATTTTTTAGTTATGTAAAATTAATTTTATATTTTTTGATATTGTCAAAAAATATAAAATTAATTTTACATAACTAAAAAATTCTAAAAAAAATTTCAAACTGATTATATAAATAAATTTTCTTAAAGAATTTTAATTAAAAAAAAAAAAAATATAAAATAATTTTAATGTTAAAATTTTAAATTCTCAACAGAATAAAAAATATTTTAAAAATTTACTTTTTACACAAAGTTTCTTGAAAATCTTTAAAGAAAATCCTACAATAGTTGAATTTTACTTAATTTACAAAATATCTCCATTTAAGGATTGAACAAGGATGTACCAATTGTAACAAATCCACAAGAACCGGGTTAGATCCCCCCCCCCCATAAATTGATAATTTAAAACAGTAAGTCCATCATCAAAAAAATTGTTTTTATAATATTTTTACATATGTCTGAGTAGAGATTAAATGTGTTGCCAGTATGTTTGTAAATTTACACAACTGAGAATTTTTATAATCTATCTCAATCCATATTTATTAAAAACTACTTGCCAGAATGAACTTTTCACGGCTGTTCAATAGTATAAACTATTGTAAGTTTAAAATCATACTTTACTTCACTCTTATGATTTAAAAAGTAATTTTTTATATTTATTTCCATAATCAACCCACAAGTTTAAACTTAAAATTCGAGCCCAAAAAAAGTCCCTTTATTTTTAAATACTTCCACAAAACTTTATTAAAAATTTATATTTTTGTTTGAGAAAATAGTGAATAAAATAAAAAAGTACTTTTGACTGTTCATTTAGCAGTGTGTAATTGTAAGGTGAATTGCAGGGAGAGACACACCTTTAAGCCCATTTAAAGTGTAAAGAGTGAAGACAATAGCTTAACAACGACACATCGTCCATATTAGGCTTAATGTCTCACAGACGGGACAGGAAGTGCCTGACCTCCCCGGGTTTGAACTTCAAAGGGGGTATTATTTTATTTATGTGTAAGTGTGGATAACACGTGTGGATTTATTGGTGTGAGTTTTCGTTAAAAAGAGACGAAGGAGAAGGAGAAGGAGAAGGAAAAATAAAAATAAAGGACACGAGTCAGAGATGAAGAGAGCGTTTAGCTGAGTAAAAAGAATGAGAGAAATAAATGGTCGGTGCAGCTGTCGTCAACAAGAGAGAGCTCTCTACCTCTCTACCTATCAACCTCCTGGACCTCCTGGATCAACCTACTGCAGTCTATAGTATTGTAGTCGTAGTCATAGTCATAGTCATACTCGTAGAGAACTACACTACCTAACACTCTTGGTGCACTACAGACTACACACCAAAGATCCTACATTCTACATCCTCCGTCCATGAAACATAATAATAAGCATCAACCTCTTATCCAGCTTCCAACACCCACCCTCAGTATGTATTTGTATATGTATATGTGCGTTACCAGACACTGCACATGCTGACATGCTCGTGGCACATGTCTGCTCTTGTCAACCCTCACTTCAAGACCTTCCTCTTGTTCCTTTACTTAACTTTCCTTGTTCTTTTTTTATTAAACGCTTTTTTCCGCCGCTGGATGCTCATTTCGAGAAAAATAGATTTTTTTAAATGTCTTTACCTACTGGGTAGCGTAACTATTTATTTATATTTATATTTACTTATTTATGTCCTCTGAGTATTGTGAGCTGGTGGGAAGATTTATTTCAGGGAAACTTTTGAGATTATTTAATTTCAGAAGAATTAATGTTTGTTGGATAAATTGAAAAGTTATGGTTGGTGCATTAGCATGACTTATGGGAAATCATTAGGAAGAAGGAAAATTGTTTTGAGTAAACAGCGTTGTAGAATTTACAGAAACTTGTTGGAGAAATGACTTGTGGAAAATTTATAGAAGTTGTGGGATCTGTAAGTGGGATTATAGAAGGTTGTTTTAGGAAAATTGCATATTTTTCTGTATGTTTTACAGAGTTATAGAAGCAGCCATTTTTTAAATTTAGGTTAACAATTTTTTTAGGGTCGAAGAACATTGCCGGAAAAAGTTGGTGAAATTTAGAAAAAGAGTCCAGACACGGAAAAAAGAGAAATAAAAAAATTACACTTTGAAAACTTAATTTTAATTAAAAAAATTTAAGTCTTACAGAATATATGAAAATTGTAAAGAATTATTTCTGTAAAATATCCAGATTTTTCTTAATTTAAATTAAGTTTGATAAAATTGATACATGGAAAAAACAGTTCTATATAAATTACAGAAAAAATAATAAAATATAAAAAAATTTCATTAAATTTATAAAAATTCATTTGTTAATTCGAAACAATTTCATAATTTTCTGCATACTTTACAGAATTTTTTTTTTTTTTATTTTTATAGAGCTGTTTTTTCCTATATATCACATGTAAATTATCTCACCCTTTGGTTAAACTGTTTTAATAAAATGTAGTTGATTAAAAAAAAATTAAAAATCATTAAATTAAATAATTTGTAATTAAAAATATTTAATAATTTACGGTCTAATGACGACAAGAAACTTTGTACATCTTTTTTTGATTTCAAAGACGCGAAATATTTAAAATAGACGCCTACATACAGAATCATATAGTTGTTATACATTAAAAAATAATCTTAACCCATTTCTCTAAATCTTTTACATTAAAGTCTCCATCTCAAGATTACTTTTTTAGTTTTTATTTTTGATTTTAAATTATAAAAAAAGGTGAGTGTTATTAAAGCCGTCAGAAAGTGTTGGTCTAAATTTATTAAATATATAAAAATATTTTTATTAATGTAGAGAGATGTTGCACCACCCAGTAATAAGAAAACTCGAGTATTTATAAAATATTAAATACCCCGAAGGCATTGTTTGGTCGCGGGTTTGTTAAAATTAAAAGTAAAAGTTTATGATGGATAAAAAATGTTTTTTTTTTTTTATTTTTTACGGCTCAGCTGTATAAAATACAACTCATTTCAGTCTCTTTACACTGCAATGATTTTAGGACGAACGGTATTACCTCGAATGTGGTAGTTTCAACAGCAATTCGCTGCTGCTGCAATCGATAGTTGTGTATTTGCTTGGAGGGAACTCGGGATTATATTCCCGAATTGTCGTTCGTTGCTGAATACTGCATCCAGGCATTACTTTTATACGTATATGTAGGTATATATAGGCATATATACGTTCTTTATGTAGCTAGATATTTTTTTGCTTTATGTTTTTCGACAAGATAAGAAATTTCATGCATGATCGGATAGTCATTGGAATAAATTTAAAACCACGATTCTTGCCATCTCGCAAATCGATTTGTTATATCTGGTATTACATGAAATGACCGTCTAAAATTTTAAATTCCATTCTCTTCTTTTTTTTTTTTCTATATTTATTTTATTTAAATCATATCAAAGTGGAAATCAACACCACTAAATTCGTAAAATATTAAACTATTTTTATTTATTTGCAAACTTTCGTTCCAAACATTTATACTTTTGCATTATATTACTCTCTGTGATTTATTTTATTTTTTCCGGATTTCAACCCTTTTTTTTTAAGCCAATAATCTTCAATTTTCCATTACGAATTATTAAAAACAATTAATAATTCCCTGATCAGCATTGCGGATTTATTGTTGAATAATAAACTCAAAGTTTCAATGTGGATTATTAAATACTCAAATGAGCGTTAAAAATGAACATGATCGCTTTTAAATTTCCAACTAAAGTCTTTCCATTAAATTACTCTCACAATCTTCCCAAAATTAAAAAAAAAAAGTCTTGTTCAAAACTTTGCGGTGAATTAAAAATTATAAAAGGGCGAAGTTTAATTTTAATATTCCAAAAATTAGCAAATAAATATTGCGGTTATTCAGCAGCGCCAAGATGGAGTTTGCTTTTTCTTATTATTATTAATATTAATTTAAACTCCCGTTACTCTTACTTTTATCAATAATTTATCATGGGCGATTAATTCAAATCATCTTCTTCAGAGGGCAACTTTTTGAGGAGGCTTTAGACTTGGTAATTTACCTTAACAAGATTATGTGCTACTAAATGGATAATATAAAAATATTTTATTTTTTTTTTTTATTCACCCCAACTTTATTCGTTAACATCACAAACTTTTAGATTATTTTGAATTAATAATTACTGTGACGCTTTGAGGCGTGCAAAATTTATATTGTATTGTTTCTCACGAAAACAGTACTTATAATTGTATGCAACAGCTAAAATTTCAATTTAAAACTTTTAATGTATCTGAAAAGTTTTAAATATTTTTTTTTTGCGCGAAATTCCATCAGGAAATATTTTAAATATTGGAATATTGTATTCTCTTAATAATATGGATAAAATAGTCGAAATGATAAGTGAATTTCTGTTTAGAATTTTCCATTTGCCACATTCCCAATAAAACATCCTATTTCTCTTTGTACTGGTTAGGTGTCTTTTTTTTCTTCTACTTCATTTTGAGCTTCCTCTTTTTCCTTCTGTACAGTCTTGGTCTTATTCATTGTCGTACCGCTTACGTACTATACCATACCAGTGTATGTCCATACGTACGGCTATTTTGAACCTCCCGTGCTATCCCGAGTTGAGTAATTCGATACGACGATTCGTACGCCCTAGGG